ACGAGTTGCTTGTCGACAGGTCAAGCGCTGGAACTAGAGTAACTAGAGTCGAACCAGAACCCATGGCAACCACCGGGCGACATGTTCTCGTACAAGTTTGTCAGAATATTCCCTTCCAGAGTTCTGCCGTTAGGCGTGCCTCCCTGAAATGAAGGTTCTTTGGATGAGTTACTGTAGTTTTGCCGACGGGTCCAATTCTTGGATGCACAGATTTATTTGGGTACGACAAGGGTTCGACTCTGGAGATCCGAGGACATTTGGGGCAGGTTCTCTTGCTGGTGCTCAGGGAATGAGGGAAAGACCCTCATAAACCATCCAACTGGTGGCTTCCTGTAAGGGGACCAAAGCCTGGGTTTATTACCACATTCCCTACCTAGCGCACCGGCAAGTTCTATCCCAGGAAGTCTGAACTCAGGGCTTGTTCCAACTTGCCGTCTTGGTTTCTCGACTGTTTGCTTCAGGTGCCAGTCCTGTCGCTTGAGGCAAGGTCCGAGAAGTGGGGCAGGTGAATGAAATAGTGGTTCGCCGTCCCGTCATTGAAGCATGTCTTCGTGTTTTATATTTGTTGTTTGAGGTATCTCTGACTTCCCAATCTGAGTCCCTGACCCTATGTGTCAATCAGGAGCATGTTAGCTGTCGACTTCCACATTCTCTGCTTACAGGGGTTTGAATCCCGAGTAGCAGCTTACTTTGCGTAAGCAGCAGCTGGCACCGCGCCGCGTTTTAGCGCTTAGCTTCATTACGGAGCATTGCATGGGATAAGTCTTTGTGTGACATTCTGTGTGTGTGTGTGTGTGCGTGCTGTGATAGCTTAAGGAGTGTTGCTTTGCAGCAAGCCATCTCCTGAAAGCAGCGGAATCTGGTGTCATGTTCCTTGTCATTATTGCATCTCCAGGTCCTGTGCGATCCACGTAGATCCTTGAGCGATCAAGTGAGCATTGGGTTCATGAAAGCGCTGAAAGACGTGTCCCATTAGTTGTAGGATTCTTCCTACGCTTCTGGCATTCTTTGCCCCGATTGTCCTCAATCTGATGCTTCCAACTTTTGGATGGTGCTCCGGTAGGCTTGGGATGAGCAAATGACACGGCCAAATTTAACTCAGGGCGTTCCCCACAAGAAAAGAAGCAGCGAATGGGGGGGGGGGTTCTGAAATCGTGGTGCTCTCAAGTTGGTTTCTTTTTAGGTGTCCCTTCAAATACCAACCTTCAAAAGAAGTCCACCGAACCCCTGGTATGAACTAAGCCGCCAACGGTCCAAAATGAGCATGGGTTCCCTATACAATCAGCCTTTGACCATTTTCAAATGCTCAAAGGTCTGTTTCTGAAGCTTCTATGTTCTTCCCGTACCCTAAGTTTGGACAGGCGAGACCGCCGAGGTTTCCAAGCGAGGAGTAAAGAACCAGCAGAATTTGTTGCGCCCTTTGTATCTTTCCAGTTTGGTTCATATGAAACACACAGAGATCCTTCTTGTGGGACCATCATTGTCATTCATTGACAAGACATAATATAGTGAACTATGCGACGGGTCAGTTCTTGCAGTCCCCCCTTTAAAACATATGAAAGTACTGTGGATGACCCACTTTTAACGGAAACGGTTGTCATCCGCGAGAAGTGGTCAATTGGCATGGAAGTGCACAAAGCCCCGTTCCAAGAGGAAGGTAGTCTTACTACAGCAGGGTTGTGGGATCAAGGGGTTCATCCCCACTTCTGTGATACTTCTGGAATCCCCTCTTTATGGGGGCAAATGTCTTACGTCCGTTTTTGTTGTATCACAGATAGAAGAAGAATAAAAGAAGTACCTCAGCCACAGATAGATTCGTGGCTTCCATTTCAAGCGCAGCCCTGGGTCTGACCATGGAATCGTCGGGGTGCTGCAGGTCTTTGGGGCGCAAGCTCCGTTCCCAGATCAGCCGAGCCGCAGCTGCCGGCTCAGAGAATGCGTGTTGCCTCAAGGCGTTGCTGGGTTTGTGGAGTTGTGTCGAGGGTAGCCTTGTCAAGTTATGTTTATTCTTTGTTGGATAACATATTTATATGTGTTTAGTGTATCAATTATACATTATATCAAAGCATTTACTGGTTTAAAACCAGAAGGAGACCCACTTTGGGGCCGCCCCAAGTTTGGATGCATCCCCGCATGAGGTTCGGTCGAACCGTTCGGCTAGGAGAAACTCACGCCATTCCAATGTCCTTTGCGATTTGAGACAGTGGGCGGGCGAAATCCCTTCGCACCACTTTGAAACCATGGGCAACAGTCGTTTGTTGGCATTTTCAGGCAAATCATCATCATTCCAGGGTTTCTTAGGCGCGGAACAATGAAAAGGGGGGGTGTGTTTTCCTTTATACAATTGGCGGTGAATAAGAATATTCGATGTGGAACACCCTCAACAGTGGTTGGTGAAAATGGCGGTGACCGAAAGTCCTTGCTTGAAATTCATTCCCTTCAAGGGATGATCATGACAGTGCCATATAAGTTTATTGACTGCTTGCGGCTGTCGCTGTTTGTGGCTGCATTTGCTCAGCTCTGATTGAACGTCAGAACGTCATGGCCATCTATGCCATGTATTCCGAGCAAAGCCCATTGCCAATGATCATGTTTCATACGAATAATGACCATGGCATATGTCTTTAGGCTATTTGGTTGGATCTTTGGGCTTGAACTTTATTGCGAAATCAAGGGTTCCCATTGGACCCACACAAAGTCGCTCACTGTTCGCAGGGTGGTCGTTACAGCAACCAGGATGTTGCCATCTTTGTGAGAAGCGGAACGCCAGACCTGACTTCATGGGGCCATGCAGGGGTTTGGTTTGGTTCCCATTGCTTCAACCTGAGGCCGTCCGGCCCGGCGCCCAAACTCCGCGCGAGGAATTCTGGTGGGAACAGGGGAGGTCAAAATAGGGTGGACCCCCACTTGAACACGAAGCTTGTTCTCGCCACTCAGTGGTTTGTTTGTGGGGCAATCCCATGTGACAATCAAAACTGATTCGGGTAAGTGAAGGTTAGTAAGGGACAATCCTAGCCAGAAATAGCTGCGGATATCCGCCTTCAAAAGTCTTGAAGCATGGTTCTGGGTCGACCATTTTGATACCGGGTTTTGATTGTGACTCATGTACCCTCGCTCCAATCGTGGAAGCTGACAGGAGGGTTTTGGAAGCGTGCTTTCCTTTCAGGGAAGCCGCATGATTGAACTGGTTGACCAGTAACCACAAGAAAAAAGGACTCCGCATCAGTACAGCCGTCCCAACTGCAATCTCATTGCTTGGAATCGCTGCTGTGCGACAGCAATCACCGAAGGCATCCAGCAATCCAAGCACAACCCAAGATCTCATGACACCCATCCAGGCAAGGACCTGCCATATAATTCCGAACTGCAGCTCAACCTGCTGGAGCACACTTCGCGGTCCTTGACATGCACAAAGCTTCTGCAGATGCCGCAATAAGCTTCCCGTTGGAATTTCACAGGTTTGCAGGCTGTCGTTGCTGAATGCTCATAATTCTTTTGTGCGGCTTGAATCAATGTCGAAGATCTCCATCCGATTTCGGTCGGAGGCCTGGAGAATCGGATAGCCCGTGTGTCCGCAACAACTTCCAGGATTCAGTGGAAAAGTATTCTGCCGACACCAGGGAACACTGGTTTTCATGGGGGTTGTCAACATCAAGCACTGCTGCTTGGACACCCTGTAAAGGCCCATGACATTCAAACTGACCTAGTTTTCCGGGCTTCCACAGAGGTTCGGCTCGATTTGACAACCCAGATAGTTCCCGAAAACTTGATGTTTGTATCCCCCTTTCACCCCAAAATGTCCCGTGTTGGTCCTTTCTTTCTTTTGGGTTCCGATGGACAGCGCACGGCGTCAACCGAACTGAGGGCGAGGGAGAGGAGTTCTTCACACCGCGCAGCCGGGGCCCTTGTTGGGGCAAAGCGCTCGCGGCGGGGCGGTGAGCGTAGAAATGATGGGGGCGTCGAAATGTGGGGCTTTTGAGATTTTGTGGCTTTGTTGCGATTTGCTTCAAGTTCGAGGGTTGGGGTGTCCTGATACACACGAAGGATATCTGAAAGATCCGTGGCCTTTTGGGGGTTTCAGTGGAAGCTGAGAGGGTCAGGTGCTCAAGTTCCCTGTACTGGGTGAAAGTAGATAGCACTACGTCTTCCACAATTCCCTCCGCGGGTACGCAAAGGAGATGACTCTAAGCCAACATGGAGAGATTCTGGCTACATCATCCAACTGCAAATGGCTTTTAGAACCTCGCAGAAACACTACGGAGACTGAACCGGGCTTTTGAAACACTTGCAGGTGCCAGGCCGTTTATGTTACGGATGGTCGAGTGCGAGGTGTGCCAGTTTGGCCGAGGCCCAAGTCCCAAGTACCCGGACTGATGAAAGGTTTAGGCTTCTCCGAGGTTGGAATACACACACACACACGCCTTGGTACAGTGTAGACTGGAATGCTATGAAGGGAAGCGCTACAGTAGATAGATAAGACATAGCTTCTTATGCTATGCTTCTGCCCCCAAAGTTGAATGTGATGCAGACGTGTTGTCCTCGCGGCTTGGGATATCGATTTGACCCTCGAGACTTGACCTTTGGGGGAGCAGGAGCCGAGGTGAGCTTTAGCTACGGGAGTTGTCGGTTTTGTTTATTGGGTTTCAGAATCTCAGCCTAGCCCCCCATCAACCAACCAGCACCAACCAACCGGGGTTCGACTCATTTGGGGTGCTCGTTGGAGGCCAAGATGTGCCGATTGTGTGAAGCAAGCTGCACCTGGCGCTGATATTGTCCGTCCATCGCATTACGCCCTGACTTTAGGGTGGTTTGGCAACTTGAGCCCATCCTAACAAGGGTGGGCATGCGTGAAGCAAGCATGTGTCATGGTCTCTTTGTGACCCTTTGTGTACCTTTCGCTATGGAGGGATTCCATGCTGTTGTAGGCTGGTCCCACTTGAATGGCGTGCTATGACATAATAGCCGCTGGCTTGCCTTCACATGTTGATAGAACCTGGCAGCGAGCTAGCTGGACCTGTAAGCAAAGCCAACGATGTGATTCGAGACTCGGTCCAGTGTTTTGGATTGCTCCTCTGTGATTCTGACCGTTTTTATTTGAACGAGATCTGAAAGTTTGAGATGTGGTTCGATGGTTATGCTGGTCAAGTTCCATTGGTAGTTTATTTGGTTGTTCATCTCATAATCTACCTTTTGAAGCACCATGTGGACATCCGAATACTTGCGATTGACATGGGCTACTTCCATGATGGTCTGATTGTATTTGCCAGTTGCACGTGGACTTTCCACCCAACAGTCTAAGCCAACAAGCATGATTGTTCCGCAATGTGTTAATGATGAATTCCTGACGGAGCAACTTAATTTGTTACGTAATCAATTCCACCAAGGAACGAGCAGAACGCAGACTTCAATGGAGATCCCAAAACGACGTCCACAAAGGACAATAACCTATCGTTGGCCCCGCTGTCTCCGCAATCATTGAGCTGCCTGCAAGGCTACTTGCCTGACTTCACAACGCTGGCAGAGGCAGGCACTGAGTCAGTGTCAAAGCAGTTGAGCTTCTTCTCAGCTTTGCTTCTTGCTCACTCCTAGTTTGCAGAGGATGTATGTTGATTCCCCTCAATGCGCAATTGTTCCATTGGGAGACCAAACAGTTCATCCTGCGTTTCTGAGGTCATGTTTGCATGCGTGACACGTTGCAACCCGTTGGACTAAAAAGAGAATTGAGGAAGATTAGTAAGAGAAAGTCATATGATTCTAATATGCTATTCCTCTCATCACCAGCTGGGAGAAATATTTGATAGATAATGAAAATAGCTTGTGATAGGAATATAATGAGAGGCAACAATGCCATGTACACTCAGAGAGTTGGAGATGAGTGGTCAATATATTTGCCGTCATGGTGTCTCCAACAGATGAAAGCCAACTATTTATTCCTGAGATTTATCTCTGCATCATTCCAGCATTAAAAGATAGGAATTACGAGAGCTGGAATAAGGACAGAGATAGGGATGGGAGAATGAGATGGCTTATTACTAGCTCTCTCTCTCTCTCTGCCATGTCTCACTCCTCCCATTCAGTCTTCTCACAGAGATTTAACAGCGACGGAAGGGAGGTGGGAAAGGGATGTGAGTGAGAGAGGAGAATGATTGGGAATTAGAAAGACACCCAATCTCCCATTCATATCCTCTCATTCCCTTTCTCATCTGTATCACTCATCCAGAACACGCTGGACAGAGAAATGAGAGCGTATGGGTGAGGTCACAGATGATAGAAAGATAATTAGAATGAATAATCCAGATGACATGAAAGCCAAGCTTGAATGGAGAGATGGATGATGAATGATTCCCTTTCCTTCTTCCTTCCTCACCTAATAATAGAGTCTTTGTGTGGTGAGGATGAGTAAAAAGAATGAAAGGGAAAGGTCATGGCATCCAAGCACCATTTCATTCTCAAGCTTGTTCATGCCAGGTGACAGAAAGACAATTGTGGACGGACTCATATAGAAATATCTTAGTTCTGCCCGTCCTTTCCTCTCTTTCTCTCGCATTTCCACTCTCTTCGTTTGTCTTGATAGGAAATGCGTAGAAGAGAAAAAGATAATGAGGGAATGAGAGCGAGGAATGACCGGAATGACAGCTAAAATATGTGTATCTTCATATCTTCTCTCATGCCTGTGTCTCGCCAGGCATTATTCTTAGGAGTTCTTCATCACCCGAGCCAAGAGAGGAACGGCATACCATTGAATCTCAGAAACAATGGCGAGACGGGTGGGAGAAGAGAGTGACCATCCCACCTCAGCCCTCACCAATACGATGGTTGCATCTGGGGCTGAGTTCAGATGTCTTGACTTCCCTTCCAGCTTAGAGACTAGTCCAAGCGCTGCATTCATAGACTTTTTCCCGTTCTCTTTCCCTTCTCCCTTTTTCTCACCAACCGTTCAGTCTGGTCGATCCAACGGTGAGAAAGGGAACGGCCATCTTTCACATGTCCTTCTTCCACTCACCTCCGTTCGAAGAAACACTACAAAGAAAGAGAAATGAAAAAGACACAAGTAGGCAAGGATAAATAACAGACAATGATAAAGAGGGAAGGAATTAGTAAATAAGGAAAGCTTCTGAAACCTCTTTCTTTTATTTGTTCGGTCTTTCTCTTTTCTTTTTTTTGTTACGGCTGTTCCTTCATCCGGAAGGGACTAAATATCCTTTTTTTTCTGGTCATCCCATGTATCACGGACCCTTTGATCAACCCAACCTATCTTGGCATCCTGTTGACAGATGCGGATTGGTTGCGGTTGATCCCCATCCTTGGGGTTCAGCAAGCGCATGCAGAAGCCGCTGCTAAACCAACCCGATAGAAGTGACACACCTTCTGCATTCCAGAAGGGTACCCCCCTCGCCAAACACGAAACACGGTTCGGCAGGCATTTGTTCACGGAATGGATTGAGAAGCGCCTTTGTTGACAAAAAAAATCGCGACCTATGGGGAGATATAAATGAGCTCACCCATGTTTCGGTATTGTCCCCTGCGGTTATTTGGCAGCGCTGTTTTCCTTTTATTCAGCTGCACACCATTGCAACCTTGCACCCGGACGGGTTTGGGTGATGGGACCCAGTGTTTCCACGCCCATCTTGTTCTACCCAAAATCCCAAAGGTCACCCTACGCCAAGCCCTTCGCGCTCGTCCAGAACCCGACGCCAGCACTCGGAGCCAATCTGGGCAGAGACCCCAAAGCTGTCACCTTGGGAAGAAAACTTTTTGTGGAATCTAGTCCATTCATTTAGATCTCAAAAGACTGTCCAAAGAGTCATAAGAGCTTTCTGGCCAGGAGGTGGGGGGGGAGGGTTTATCAAACCAGGGGAATTGGGCTGGGACACCGGTTTTTTCCTAGGCAAACAAACGCCAGTGGCTGGGGTCTCGGGTCGGTGCCACACGTGGACTTTGCGAGGCCAGGTTTGATTTCAAGCAGCGGGTGGGCGCTGTGCAGTACCGGCGCCCAGCTGGAGGGAGTGTCGATCCAATCACCCGGTGGGTTGAATCCATTTTTCTTCCTTGTTTGAGGATTTCCCTTTAAATTGAAGTCGGCTACCAAACAAGAGGGCGCGATTGTCCCATGGCTGGAGTGGGTGGTGGTCTTGGGTTCAAATGGGGAACCCCATGGAACCTACCGTTTCTTCTATGTTTTGTAACATAGAGTGGGTAGGCAGACCATGCCAGGCACCAGTTGGTAGGTAAGTTATCCCAAATTGCATAAGAGGTGCGTCCATCCCTAGTGCAGGAAATTGTCCCCTACAATTCTGGGGGCTTGGCAAAATAGGGTGGGTAGACAAAATCCACGCCTTTGTGTTGGTCTCCCGTTGGATGCCAGAAAGAGGTTTATCATTTGGAGAACCTCCCTTGGCTTGTTTTTGAGGTTCAGGTCAGGTTGCAAGGGTGACCAAAGGGAAACAGCGGCTTTGTTGGGGGGCCATGTGGAGACTCGCCCATGCGTTCTTGCTGGGGCTATGTTGTTGAGAGCAAGAAAGTGCCACGGCAAAAGCTCACTTAGCTACATTATAAATACTCGTGCTAGATGTACTATATGTACTATATGCACTGTATGTACATATGTATATATGTATATATGTATTGAAGGAGAGTCCCAGATTCATAAATTCATGAATGAGAATCCTCAAAAGCAATCCGAATCCATGCTACAGGGGGGGCTCCACAAGCATCTTCATGTCATAATCAAACATGAGTTGTGTCAACACAAACATGGTGGGCAACCTGTCCACTGGCAGCTTTGACTACAATTCTGAAGGCTTATCACGACCATGACCACGCAACATTCTACTCAGCGGCAACTTGGGCAAAGTCAACCGCCGCACCGCACACCGGCTGCTCAGATTGTTCAGCTGTGGGCAACTGCAGTGGGTTGCAATGAATAGAATTGACAACGGACCAACTGAACCCTCGAGTGAGCAGGCCCAGTGATGAATCTTGGTGCCACGAGGTTTCAGTAGCCACCACAAGCCAATGACACAACGAATCGCTGCATTGCCTGGCACCGCATTTGAGCTCCTTTGTGGGCGCCTAAAGCCTGTTGTCCTGGTCTTAGGCGAAGATTCGGAGTGACCCAGGTTCTGTTCCCAAAATGACGCCATGGACAGGGTATTCCCACTTTACAACTCACCCAGCCAGTGGGCGCACTTTGCGCTTTTTTCCTCGGTGGCTCTCCCTTTATTTTAGTGGTGGCCCAAAAAGTGTGCACTTTGTTTTGGCTGGTCACTGGCCAAGTGAGACAACTTGGGAAGCGCAGGATGCCGGGGACATTCCGCCGCGCGCCGCGTTTTCAGGCGCTCCTGTCGCTTCTCGGCCACCATCTTCGAAAGGCATCCGCTTAGTGGTACATTAAGGGTGCCATGTTGGCTAGAAAGAGGCTTGTGGGACACACATGTAGAATTATATAGAATGTCCGCGAGAGGGACGGCGAGGGAGCGGACATGCCAAACTGCCTTGTGTGTTCAACGATTCACATGCAGCTATTGGAGGCTGGTGTTTTGCATCTCCCTTCGAGAACAGGCGTGCGAATTGGTACGTGCACACAAATACAAATCACGCGCACACAAACACAACACATACACAAAGAAAATCACACAAAAAAAAGACACAAGCAACCGCACACACACACACCTAAATGCACACACAACTACAAATGCAGATGCAGATGCAGATGCAAATGCAAATGCCAATGCCAAACAAACAAACAAACAAACAAGCAAGCAAGCAAACAAACAAACAAACAAACAAAGAAGCAAACACCACCACCCACCCACCCCCCACCCCACCGCACTGCACCGCAGCCCACCGTTCCGAACCGCACAGCACCGCACCACACCACACCACACCACACCACCCCACACCACACCACACCATCTCACACCACCCCACACCACCCCACACCCCCATCACCCCCCTCGCATCCACACACCCACACACCCTCACACCAACACACGCCCCACACACATCCACACACATTCACACACACACACACACCCACACGCCCACACCACTGCACGCGGGCCCTGCACACGTAATGAGACGCGCTGACGCGAAGACAGAGAGCCCCCAGGCCAATCTGCTGGCAAACGCAGCGCACCAGACATTTACAGGGTTGCCAGAGGTTCGCAGCCTGCCAGAGGAACAGAGCGTCGGGCGGAAAAGCAGCGGACACGAGCTGCAGTGAAGAAGGAAGCAGCAGATGGTGGCGCAGATGCTGCTGAGTCTGAGAGCACCCTCAAGCAGCTACAACTCGCCGAGCGAAGACTTTCACCTGTAGAAGCTTGCACAGTTCTTTGCTCAAGGCTAGGAGTAATCAGTGTACACTTACACTGTATGGCTACGTGCTTCTTGGCTGTTGGTGTACGCCAATAAGGAAGCCTCTCAGCGGGCAAGGGGGGGGGTACGCGGTTGCGATGCAACGCGGTGCTTGCGCAAAAAGTTAGTCGGGCGCTTTTCGAGTTCGCGCGGCGGCGCGTCCGAGAGCGCTTGGGCACGCCGCAGCGAGGGTGCTTCGCCACGGGCAATCCTCGCAGAGGGAGGTTCATTAAATGTAGAATGAATACAGCAGAGGGCAAATATATTGACGCTGGCTTATCAGCTCATAACCCCTTCGAATCAAATGTCCGCAGCTTTGCAACAACCCTGGTTTCGTTGAACAAAAACATGCTCTCTTGCGCCAACACTCCCATCAGATTGTAGTTGGTGGAAACCATGCTTGTCAACAGCTGAGGGGTTGCCAGCACGAGGGGTCGCACGAGAGTTTTCCAAGTCAAAAGTTTTCAAGCCGTGCAAGATGAGAACTCGCTGGTGTGCAGGTTGGATGATCTGAAAGAGCACATGGTCGGCAGCTCAGCCGGGGAGTGGGTCTGTTGTTTTCTTCTTGAGTCGAGGGAGCCCCACAAATCCACAAGCGGAGTGTTCCCTTGGCTTTCCTTTGCAAACCAGGGTAGCCTTAACAAAGACAGAGCCATGTCACCATGTGTATCCCCGAGTCACTGAATTCCGCTTGGTTCCCTTCTGATTCCCTTCTGAAACCATTGTCAAGGCAGTCCGCAGTAGTTTTGAAGAGTTTGATACTCATGTTCGAAGCTGGCAAAAGGTGCGAACCAGTACATCCACGGGTTCTCTTGCTGGAGTCGGTTCCCATTTCTACAACCCACGTTTGTTCATTCCGGGCACCAATCTCAATGAGGGCATACAGGCATCCTTTGGTGTGTTTCCGCAGGAACACGGAACCCTTGGCGCAAGGATTTGGAAAAGAGAGAGAGAGAGAGAGCGAGAGAGCAGACACGACGACTCATTGCAACTCATCGCCAGGGCGAATGACTTGCCCGCATGTTCTGATTGGGGTCCTTCACGTTCGCCGGGCTCGCGGAATGGCACGTCGCCATTGCATGCCGGGAAGTACGTGTGCTGGAAGTTTATTGGGGATGAGTGCAGCCTATGGTGGTTTTTGTGGGTTATCTTGCTTACGTGTCACGGGGTTCTCCGAGTTTCCACCCTGCAATGGCTCACCTGGGTGCTGATTCTCCCATTTGTTTAAACAAATGCCAGCTGAGTTGGTTTCACTGGGACTGGTATTCTTTGATTTGTTCACCCCAGTGACGTATCTGACGTTCGAAGGCAAGCCGTTCCACCAGCTGCGGGTCCTGCGAAGAGACGATGGGGCGCCCAGAGCGATGCAGAGTGGCTTGTGAGTGGCCGCGATGAGACAGGGGTCCCGATATGTCCCATTCAACCTTCCATCTGCTTTAGAAGAGGTGTTCTTTCCATTATTGGTTTTAAAGGGAGTCTATCACGACTGGAAATATTTGTTTTTTTCCAGTGGACTGCAGCAAATGGAAGCAACCCTCACCCATTTGGGGCCGTTTGTGAGTTTCTTTTGGTGGAGGTGTTTGAAGCTTGGAGCTACGAGCCCAGTCATTAGAAACACCCACTTGGGTTACCTAGGTTGGTCTGTGGGTTCCACAAGCCCCAAAAAGGCTGCGCTCCATTGTTTCCGGTAACAACCCCAATCAGCTTGGTTGTTCCAAATCTGTCAAAATCTATCATTGACTTGCTGGTTCTCAGCAGATGAGTTGGAATGACTCCAACAAAAACCATCCCTTGCTGGTGGCTTCGCCAAAACCAGTTCCTTCCCAACTGGACTCGCTGTCATTCCCTGAGAAGCAAGCTATCCTGCCAGATGCTCGTGGCTTACTACCGTGCCCCACAGATATGGGGGATTTGATCATTTTTCCCAGCAGCCTTAGCAAATGGAGTCTAGATAACACCTCAGTGGATGAGGATAGGGGACAGTCGCAATCATAGAGAGAAAGAGAGAGAGAGATGCAGCAAGATGCCTTCTATATGGTTGAGGCCGCATTGGTCCATGTTGAATAGAGCTATGTGCTACATCATCGTATTGTAGCAGAACGGTACCTGAGTACTTTACGGATGCCTGCAGAATGCACAATGCAGGGTATTACTTTCCCACCACCTTACTACAAAGCATCTTTGAACATTGTGATGCTGCATGTTCTCCGTCAGCCAGCAACATGTGTCAGGGTGTGTCCGTCTTGATTCCATGAAATACCGCCTGAGCTTAGACGTCTCAAGGTACAATCTTACGTGGCCACACATTGTGGTGTTTGAGGTACTCGCACGTGGTCAATGTGCAGACGAAGGAATGTTCAAGATATGATGGATTATGACATCCCTCGAAACAATGCATTGGGAGGGTGGGTGGGTGAGGTGGGTTTGGAGCCATTCCATGTTTTGGCCCGTAGCGGGGCCTGGTTTGGAATATAGATATATATATATATATTTGGGGGTCTCCAGCCAGAATTGGAGAACATTATATATTTGGGGAGGTGTCGGTTCCAAGTTTGCATCGGGGGGGTCCCCTCAACGATGCTCCATGTTCAATGAATCTGTTCAATCAAGCCACCTGTCCCAGATGCGAAATTGTTGGGAGGAGGCTGGCGAGATGCAGAAATATGTACCTACCCCCGCCACTCAGATTTCCCAATGATGCACCCCTCCAATCCAATTGTCTTCAAGAATCAGACAAGTCCACAATTGAAATTCGGTAGGGGAGGTGGTTTTGCCCGGTTCCATTTTCAGTATCTGGCCATTCCCTTGTTAATATATTGCGGCTGCATTGTTGCAAGTTCACCTCCACCTGGTTGAGTTCCAATTGGCCAGGTGAGTTAATGGAATGCAGGGGGGGGCTTTCGCTTGTATGGGTGTCTTTTGGTTCGGGACCCCCGTCCAAATGGATGGTTTACCTTTAAATCCACCAAAGAAACGGGACCCTCAAAAAAGAGCGCACACCCACATTGTGTGGGTGTTTTTTAAGGTGTTTTAACGGTGCCGCTTGTTGGGGTTGTTTTGAAGGACAAACAAGAGGAGCACCACAGTTTCAAGGGTCCCGCCGCTACAGTGTGCTGAGGCCGGTTGCTGAGCAACTGGAGTCTTGGCCCGATAGTGCTGTCTCATGTTGAAGCTAAGCGAAGGAGAAGCGGGTAGATTCATTGATTGGGGAAAGACCATGTACTGTGTGTGAAACCTGGCTGTGGGGTTTGGCACCCTGCAGTCCAAAAAAGTCATACAATTGTGGAAAACGAGGGTTTCTTTGAGTGGACCACGCCAGAGGCTTTGCGTTTTAGAGCCGAGGATCACATTCAGAGGACTGCTGAAGAGCTGTTGTCCAGGTTCGCTTGAATCAACTGATTCCATGCGCTCGGGGGAGCCTCAGACTGGAGCTCGGCTGGGTTTAAGGGAGCAGGAAATGGATGACCATGTACTCACACGAGCAAACGAGAGAAATGGAGGTGCCCAATCAGAGGTACGGTCTTTGAACTGCAACGACAACCAGTCTGACCCCTCCTGCCCAGAGGTCCCTTGGCGAAATCTGGGGATGCGGACCCTGGAATTTCCACCTGGGCTTCCGGGATTCCTTCCTTAGCGGCCGCGTCCGAAGGACTGAGGCCCAAATTTCGGCCACAAGTGCCAGCTCGGATCCAACCCGACCTTCAAGGGGTAAGAAGGGCCAGACATACGTGCCGTGTTCCCGCTTAGATCAAGCAACCGATGCACAATGTGTATGCGCAGGTTCGACTCAATTTGAGATGGATGCTGGTTTCGGAGCGTGAGAGATACACTACCTACACTGGAAGGTCGGGCTTTAGTAGCGGAATGTGCCACTGGCGCTGGTATGGCGTGGCCTTGAGAGAAGCGGAAGCACTGGCAGGTTAGTCCTGGCCTGACCGCATGGTGCGTTTTGCTTCATTTGTCCTTTGCTTCGCTCAGTGGACCCACATGTGAATTGGGATAGGAGTATCAGTTTGAGGCTGGTGCTTTTGATTGTTCGCGCATGTCGGAACGTTGTTGCTGGACATCGCTTTGCATGTCGCGCCGCCTTGTTCTGAGATGCGCCACTCAAACATACAAACAGCTGCTTCTAAGAAGGGCGGGCCAGCCTCCATTTTAGACATGTTGATACCTGTCGTTCCAAAAATCCTCCTTCTGGTCCCCTTTTACAGCTGTCCAGGGCATGGTTGACAAACACGCCTGGGCTTCGGATGACTTCCTGCCATTTCTCTCCAGTCCGACGGGTACCGCGTGCCGTGGCCCGCTCCGGTCTTTTTGTGCGGGGATCTGCCGGGCCGAGGGTTGCAGCGAGCCCATGTTGCGACTTGTCCAGACACCGATTTGATTTTTCTCGCAAGAGGCAGGTGCACCTGATGCCACTAGTCGGAAAGCCTCGTTGAAAGTGTGTCTCACTGCACTTAGGAAGTTTGTGTAGACTAGGAACATGGTTTATGGAGAAAGAAAGCCACCAAAATGGGCATGACAATTGCGAGTGTCTCGCAACAAAACCAAACAGACAAAGATTTGCCTGCTATTTGCTTGGGATTGACAGGACTCACCAGCATTAAACAGGATTCTTTGGTGACTCCTAGGTTTGTTATTTTGCCTACTTGATTATTTATTTTCTTGTTTAAACTTATATACACAAATTATAAGAACAATATCTTTATTAATTTTAAAGGGATGTATTTATTATTTGAGATATTTATATTTTTGATTTAAGGAATTGATAATTCGATGAATTATTATAAATTAAATTTATTTTATATATGATGAAAATTATGTTTAGTTGAATTGAATATCTAATTTATTATATAACAATTATGTGAAATATTTTTATATTGAATTATAAAAGGAAATATTTTTTGATTTTAATATTGATTGTTATGAATATTTTATGAAAGAGATTATGATTTGGATTTTGGAAATTATATTTTTGTTTATGGTTGAAAAGGTTTAAATATTTTCGCCTATTTTAATATTTTTATAAATATTTGTTTAAAATTCGTTGAATGGTATTTTCCGAAATGATTTTTGTTATGATTCGGTAATTAGGAAGTTTATATGTTATATAAGTTTAGTTGGCTTAACGTTTGTTTTATATGAGTGTGTTGGCATAATGTGCATTTTATAGTAATCTCGGAGAAATTAGAATATGAATAGAACATGAATAAAATATGGAAGAATTATTTATGGGCATGGAAAACTTATTTCTGGGAATGAAATATTTATTTAGGGAAATGGATAAATCGTGGTTATCTCGCCGAATGTTACCTTAGCCTAAAAATATACAAATTTTAAAATGATGGAGTTAAAATCTATAGAGCTTAATTATACGATTTATTTAAAGATAAAAGGCGATTCCAAATAAGTCTAGCTTGAATACGGGTTTGTATGATGGCTGGATTACGACTATGGTAGTGTATTGGTTAATATCGAGCTCCCTAAATGGTTGTCTTTGTTAGGTCCTTCGGTAAATAGTTAGTTAAAGGAATTTGGAAATTTAGAGAATTTAATTCTGATTTGGTTATAATTGTTAGCTTTGTATGGGGGGGGGATCTTGTTTATTGATTAACATAATAATCCAGAAATATGGTCTTATTTATTGGCCAATATGGGAATCTAGAAATGATTCTTCGGAATTAATGAACACATATATTTTTGCTACAAATGGCTCTTCGATAAATAACCATTTCTTAAAAAAAATCCTTTGAATTCCAGAATATATTTTATTTATTATTATTATTATTGGTTCATGAAAAATATATATATTTACCAATAATATATATAGAATATTTATAGATTAAAATTGGTTGGAGAATGCATAACTTGAGGGTCGACATAAAAATACGTCGTTGCAAAAACAAATCTAAGCTAGCAGAAACCAGCTTTTGGAAATTTTGAAGCTGTTGGGGCAAGCTGAACATAATTTTTAGCCGAATTTTTGCCAATGTTTAGCATAAGATCTACGAAAATTTCGCGAAAATCGATGGATATGAGGCTAACGGGTCTTTTCATGCGAATTGAAATGTCGTGACTTTCGAGTTGGGGTTATGGAAATTATTTTTGTATATTCATATTTGAAAAAAAAAAAAAAAAAAAAAAACGATATATATCTTTAATAATATTTAAAAAATATAAGTTAATATTTCAATTATTATATTTATATTAAACATATATATATTTAAAATAATTTATATTATTATTATATAAACCATTATATATTTATAATATTTTAATATATATATATTTATTAATTTTTAATAATATATATTTATATATTTTTAAATTATATTTTTAAATTATATTTTTAAATTATATTTTTAATTATATATATTTGAAATAATGTTCTTTTAATTTATTTATATATATATTTGTATTGTTATTATATTCAATTGGATCATTCGAATATTTTTTTGATTTATTATATAAAATTATTATTATATCAAATTACATTTGGATTAATTTATTATATGTTTTAATGTTAAGAGGGGAAGGGTCTTGCAAATCTTGATTATTTTCTATTATATTCAATATAATTATATTATTAATTTAATAATTAAATCTTGGAATATTGTTAATTAGAATTTTCTTAATCTCGTTATTTCATTATTTTATTTTATATATCATTACCTTTATAAATATTATAGATTATTATGTTGTAAATCTTTTAAGATTTATTATTTATACAATAAATATATTATTTATAGTAAATTCATTAACCGGATATATAGAAAATATATTTAAAACAAATATCAATAATTAAAAAAATAATTATATAATTAAAATCTAAATAAAAATAAATATAATATATTATATTAATCCAAAGAATATCCCAAAATTCATATATACCTTTTATAAATTAGGATCTCATTTTATTATACAATTTAGAATTAAAATAATTTCTTATTAATCAATTCCTATTTATTGTTTTCCTTATAATTCTTTTATTTATAAAATCGTACCGGTTCATAAAAAGGCTACAACGACTTACCAATACATAAAAAAGACAATCTCGAAATCATACCAATTTATAAATAAATATAAATAAATTCAAATAAAATAATAAATTAATTCTAAATATAATTATATATTTTTATATTTTATATTTTGTTTCTTTTTTTTTATTATTATATTATATTTCTAAATCTAAAATAAAATTATTATAAATTGTAAATCTAAAATACAAACAATTAATAAAATTGGGAAATAAAAAAAAAAAAAGACTAAAGATAATGAAAAGTATTTTTTTAAAGGATTTTAATTTTAATTCATTAACTCATAAAATCTTAGAAATATTTTATTTATAATTATAAATAAATTAAAATAATTTATTAATTTATATATTTAATAATTTAATTAATTATTTTTATTTCAAACAATACAAAATTATTATAATCTATATTATGTTACTACCAATATATAATTATATAATTTCAATATAATATAATTAATTATATATAATAAATATAATCCCAATTGCAATTATAATAATTCGTGGATTCCGATATATTTGCCATAAATACATTTCCCGTAATTTGCATATAAGGAGCGGACGAAACCCTTTACTTGGCCTTAGTACTTTTTTTAACGTCATCGTTTTTGGGGGAGACCTCATCGTTTTACAGTGTTTTCGAACTTTGGCAGATCCGGCTCCAAAATCGCAACTTTGTAGTACAAGTCTAGTACGCGAAGTACACTTCCGCATCTCCAGCTCGATCATCGCAACTTTGTAGTACAAGTCTAGCACGAAGTACACTTCCGAAGTATCGCAACTTTGTTGTACAGCTCCAGCTCTCAGCTCGAAAATCGCAACTTTGTAGTACAAGTCTAGTACGCGAAGTACACTTCCGCATCTCCAGCTCGAAAATCGCAACTTTGTAGTACAAGTCTAGTACGCGAAGTACACTTCCGCAGCTCCAGCTCGAAAATCGCAACTTTGTAGTACAAGTCTAGTAAGCTCGAAAATCGCAACTTTGTAGTACAACAAGTCTAGTACGCGAAGTACACTTCCGCAGCTCCAGCTCGAAAATCGCAACTTTGTAGTACAAGTCTAGTACGCGAAGTACACTTCCGCATCTCCAGCTCGAAAATCGCAACTTTGTAGTACAAGTCTAGTACGCGAAGTACACTTCCGCAGCTCCAGCTCGAAAATCGCAACTTTGTAATACAAGTCTAGTACGCGAAGTACACTTCCGCATCTCCAGCTCGAAATTCGCAACTTTGTAGTACAAGTCTAGTACGCGAAGTACACTTCCGCATCTTCAGATCGAAAATCGTAACTTTGTAGTACAAGTCTAGTACGCGAAGTACACTTCCGCATCTTCAGCTCGAAAATCGCAACTTTGTAATACAAGTAAGTACACGTCTAGTATCCGCTTTGCTTGCAGCTCGAAAATCAACTTGTAGTACAGTCTAGTACGCGAAGCTTCCGCAGCTCCAGCTCGAAAATCGCAGCTTTGTAGTACAAGCCTAGGCTGTACGCGAAGTACACTTCCGCATCTCCAGCTCGAAAATCGCAACTTCTCAGTACAAGTGTCGTATTTACAGAGCCGTGTGTTCGTTAAGGGTCATCGTTTTTGGGGGAGACCTCATCGTTTTCCATGGTTTTGGGATGTGTTACTCAAAAGCGTGCCCCGTCTTGATAAAGTGGTCTACGCGTGTTTTGTCCGTGGCTCATATGTATTTGTTACACCCTTACCGGGAAATTGGTCTAGGGGATATGAATCGCGGATGTAGTCAGGGCCTCTCTCCACCGGCAAGGTATCACTGTTGTGCATTATAGCAGGCGGGCGTTAGAGCTTTTGTGCAGTCTAATTCAGACCATTCGTGTGAAGCGTTAGAGGTTGGTTTGTGACAACTGAGCAGTTTGCTGTCTTGCGGCCATATGTTGCAGTTTAAATGAGAATTGAAGCGCCTGAAACCACAGAGCAAGAATTTCGAGGTAATTGTAAGCAATGGCGATGTTGGTCGATGACACTGAGGATGTTCAGGGCACCCAATATGTTACATGTTAAGTGAATTGTAGGCTTGCATTGACGTATCAAACCCTTCCGCGAAGCTTCCGCGGTGTGAAGAGCACCTTCCGCGAGCATGCTTCTAAAAAGCGTGAAAACGTGCTTAAAAGGGATTCCGCAGGCAAGTTGCTTCGGGAAACTGAGGAAGGTAGCTTCCGCGCTTCCGCGGGAAAAACCTTCCGCAAACCTTCCGCGGCTGCAGTGCGGCGCTACCTTTTTTTCAGCGGAGAAAACAAAACGCTCAAATGTGCTTTGACCAACTACTTGATTCTTAATGTTGTTAGATAACACTCTAATTATTCCTTTTCTCAGTATGACTCTGTCCGATGGTATGACGGTGAAAAGGGACGTAGCTCTTTCATCCCTGCAGCGCCCGCAAGGTAGCCCAGACGAGCCAGCCACTTGTGATTGCCGCTCTCAATGGAAGATTCTTACTTTCTGACAACAAGTTTGCATTTACGATCCACGTCTTGCTTTCAGATCATCACATTGCCAAAGTGTAGCCCCGGGAAGAGATCAACTGTTGCTTGGAATGGATCGCTAGCCTGTTGATCTTGGATTCATCTTGTTTTAGCGTTCAACTCTACAGCAGCAAGCAATCCTGATTCGGCAACCTCCCTCCAGTCTCCCAGTGGACCTGGTCCTTGTCGTGCCCTTTTGGCGGTTAGCGTGAATGTCAAAAGGGAAATCGCATAGCACAACCCATTTTGAGGATTCAACAGTTGAGGGTCCGTGGTTTCTGCAGAAGCCTTTCGTGATCAAAGGCCAGGCCGGGGACAAGCTGGCCTGATTTCGGCTTCCCATTCAATCCCATGGCAATGGTAAGTTGCCATCGCCCGATTGCAAGCCCAGATGGAGAACGGAACTCTTTTTTGGGGGTCACCATTTGGGTGTGTCAAAATGGGGGACCCCCCAAACAGATGGTTGTCCTTTGGTTTTCCTTTAAAACCAATCAACCCATTTTCAGAGAGCTTCCACCAACAAAAAGGGGAAATGGGTGATGAATAGCTGGGATCAGCCTTGGAAATTGCAACCTGCCGCAACACACTCCAACAATATTGTTAACTACCCTCCAAATCTCGTGTGGGCGCTTGTAGCATCCTACGGCTTCACATACGCAACCACCTTTGAAGACGTAAACGAAAAATTGCAAAGTTTTATCGGCACCACAAGTGTCTTTGGCTTTCGCATGTCAAATGTGGGTATGCGTAAAAAACAGGGCGCGGGGTTTCAAATTTGTGGTTCTCCTGTTTGTTATCCTTTAACTCAAGCTGAACATGGTATCCTCAAAGCAACACAAACACACACACAAACAAAAAGCCTGACAGCTGGCCGTTGATCAGGCCGCAAGTGGAAAGACTTCCAGTAATCTTACGTCCAGGGATTCGTCAGCATACCTGCCAAACAGGACTTTCATTGGCTGCCACACTCAACCGCACTGAATGTTCATTCTTGACGCTCGATGATTGGGAAAACTACGCAAGCATGCTATCCCAGTTGAGTGACCCTGCTAGAGAACAAGGGAACTCTTTTTGTTTTGCTGGTGCCAAAAGGGAGCTCTTTGAGCATTTGTTTGCACACTTGCTAATTAACTAGGGTAGTGGCTCTTTGCCCACCTCCTGGATCCAGCAATCACTTTTTGGGGGGTTGACCATTCTCGGTGGGGGCGCCCGCAACGCTCAGAACTCTCCCTGCCTTGGCGCCGGTCATGTGACCCGCGCCGTAGCCATAGGGGGGCGAGGTCCATTTCACGCCTCGAAAGGAATACGGCAGGCGTATGGGGCTAAAACGGGGAAACCACAACCCTGGGGGTCAGTTACCACCATTAAAACCAAGGGGGTGAATACAACCACCCATTATTTGCCCAAGGAGTTTCATCATCCAAGTTGGGTCCTTGCCATTCTTTTCACGGGGGCAAGGAGTCCGAGAAAAACAAGACAAAGGCCATTTCTTCGGCCCATAGAAACCAGCACTGGGACATGCAGCTCGCTGGGCTAAGATGTGTGTGGCGTGAAGCACAAGAGACTTGGCCCCGTGGCAATGACACATATAATTAGTTGCATGCGCAAGGGTTTCCGGAGGCATCGGCCACAGAAAGCAGATAGACCTTTGTTGCAACTCCACCAGGCGAAGGTGTCACTGGCAATGCTTTGGCGCGCTGCAAAACCCGAGCATTTTGCACAAGTTCACGAGTTAATTTCATCTGCAATTTCCGAAGTTTGAATGCAAACCTCTCATCTCACAGGAAAATGGGGAACCCTTTTTTCTCACCCTCCAAACCTTTTTTTCCAAAGAGAATTCTTGCGTGAGCCGAATGCAACTCAGTTTTCGGTTCGCATCACATTCATTGGTCACGTTCTTACTCTCCTCTTGGAAGCAACTTCTCAGCTATCATGATGCAGGGTTGTGTCAAAGTTGGGAAGCTCCAAAATGAGTGCTTTGCTCTCGGCTTCCCTTTACACCCACTCACAAACGGGTACCTTCAAACAAATCAGACGACGAGCGACCCAAACGCACAGGGCATCATTAAGGACATGACTTACTCAACATCGTGCTATTGGGCCAGTGTCTCGCACTCGCTATTAGTACATGCAAGGGGGGGAACATTTGACACTTCCAGCCGTCTAGCATGCTCCCTTATCCATCGACGGCACCAAGGGTCGTCCTGATGGCCACAATATCATGAAGCCACACTATGGGCATCGATGGACTTGAAATCGCACTTGTCCATCGATCGCATGGATTGTCCTGATGTGACCATCCCTGTCATCCCTGGATATGGCCCGGCTCAGGGAGCCAGATATTGGAGGCTTCGGCCAATGGAGCATTCTCTTTCCCGGGGACCAAATTTGAGCCACACCCGGGGCCGCGCCCACACCACGAGACGCACGATCCACGCAGAGTGCTCAAGATAGTGTGCAACAACCGGGACTTTTTGACCCCGGCAGGCACGATCCATGCAAACGTTTCGTGGGGGTCAAAATGAAGTGAGAAAACGCACGGAGTTGTGTGGCCCACGCAAAAAGCAACTCGAATCTGACACGCACAATCCAGGCAGCAGGTTCTTCCGGGACAGTGGGCTATGTGACAGCGACAACGACACAGTGACATTGACTCAGGTATCTGAGCCGGTGTTCAGTGGGCCGTGCGATTCACGATTTAATGACGCTGGAAACTGTGATATTGACACAGTGAGATCTAGGCAATGACAGTTGACGTTTTGAGGCAGTCGCAGTATTGAAACCGATTCAAACTGTAATATTGAGGCAGAACCCTTCGCAGTGCTTTCGGCAAAAAAGACACTCCAACCATGCCTCGCGGTATTCTCTTGATCCACGGCATGATCGCCTCCTCGTCATAGACAGGGGCGGCCGCGGGCCCTGGTCAGCCAAGCAGTGGCCACCCGAGGGGCGGCCCTTGTTGTGAGGCTCCACTCGGCTTTCAGCACCTTTTTTGTTTTCCTGTTTCAACCTGGTACGTGCTTGCTGTTGACCCCTCTGCAAAACGTCTTTAACTTTTTGTTTGTCCAACTCGGACAACCCGACCTGTTTCAACCAAAAGCTCGAGTCCAAAGATCCGCTACCAAATTGCCATAAAAAATATTGTCCAAAACCAAAAAGGTCAAGGACTTCCCCTAACATGGGACACCCCTAGATGGGTAAAAGATCCACACCACCAGTTCGATGAAATCCGACTGGTTGGTAAACCACAGGAAAAATCCAACTGTTGCAGAATGTTCTTCGCAGTTTCCTTGGGGCTATTCTAAAGAGCAAAAAAGGCCAGTGGATTGGGGATATCCTAGACACATCCCTCCAGTTGCGGCCCGCAACTGATTTCGGGTTTTGCTAGAGCTCCATCATGCATTGGTGCTGCTACACAAAGAAAGGTCTCCAGTCATACAAAGAAAAACATGCGCAAGGCCTCCGCAAAAAACAACAACAATGACACGTGCAAGCCATGCTGGCTCTCTCTTGAAACATGCTGCGATGATGTGAATTCTCTGCAAAACGCAATCCATGGTCGAGGCCGTAAAGAAATGAGGATTGAACATCATCTTATTATGCAAATTGATGTTGGGTGGGTGGTCAGTCTGGCGGGCGGGCTGGCAGGTGGGTGAGTGGGAAGCTCCCAGAAAAATCACCAAAGATTCTGGATCAGAAAACAAGGCAGCTGGAACATGTATGTTTATGGAGCGACAAATGTTCGTTTCTGCCACTCAAACTGCGACTGTTTCAATCTAATGCGAAATCATGGCAAGCTACCAGTAGCTATTTGACAAAGGATGCACGGCAACCCATGACCTTCTTCGGGAGTGACAGTACTTTGACCACAAAGCACCCCGATTAGGAAACACGTGAAACAACTGACGATGTGACACCTATTCCAAGCATGGAAGCAATACCACAATTACATGTCGCTCCTCCTTTCTCGGACACGTGGTCCTTGCGCCCACGCGCACAATCACACGCATGACTACAAGGAAGCCCCGCAAATCACATTGAACTTTGACTGCCCGCCCACCTGAGGCTGGTGAGGCCAAGGGCGTCTTGATGGGCTTTCCATCCACCCCTGGCAAGGGTCGACTTGAATGGGTGCGAGAGTCTGCGTCCAACGGATTTGGCTGGTGTGGATTGGCTTGGGCCACCCCTGTCAAAGGTATCATCCAAAGCCATCAGATCAACTGGAACACCTGGGCTTAGGCTTTCTGATTTGCTGATGCATTGTTTCATTTCGTTCCTTGGAACATACATCTCAATTTATGATATGCGTCTGAATATGTATACACGCTGGCAAAGGCTACTGTTCTAAAAAGAGCTGAAGCGGGAGATCCATGTATGAACAAAGACAATACACGGTAATCATATTCTTAGTAATCTCCCAATACTGTCACAACTGCAGCAACCACACTGACACCCAAGTGTGTTTACACGCGAAGGTGAACACGTATACAAGGGCCAACAAAAACTTTCAGATATACCGCCTACAAGAGCTACTAGACCCAGGTGAAAAAGGGTTCCTCTCCTTTTGTTTGCCCTTCAATCATCATGCAAACGACAATCCCATGTCACCATGTTATGTTGCTCCAACTCAACCACCCTGAACATGGGGTTCACCCATCCGGGAGAAAAACAAAAACACTCTCTCTCTCTCACACATATACATAATATAATTCTATGTATCATCTTAGGGTGGGTCTCCAGGGTTCATGGGGTTTCCCCTATCCGACTCGAACAACCGCGCCGTTCCCCGGTGAAACGCGAGAACACCAAACTCGCCGCAGGCACGCTGACCACTGCCCCCAAAGAGCTTGGGACCGGTGTCCTCCGAGTCGGGATCGGATTCCATGGGCTGGGCTTGTCTTTTGAGGCTACCAATCCAACAGGAACCAGGAGTTCAAATTAAATCCAAATCCAAACCGCAAATCCAAGCCACCAACTAAGCGTTACCACGCTTCTGAGCGAGTGGACTGGCCAAAACGAGTCACCAAACTGTTCGCTGGCCACTGAAATGTTCTTCCCAAAACGGTTGAAGTCCATGAAGTCATTGAGTGAGTTTCTTAGGTGGATCTTAAGGGAAACCAAAAGGACACCGCCCTGTTTTGGGGGGCCCAAAAAGACACCACACCAAATGAGGGTTGCTCAAAAGAAGGGTCGAAACTCTTAGCCTACGGGGCGAGGGTCACAAAGCCCAAAGTAAGGCATCCCTTGATTGAACACTGGCTCCACTTCGTTGCTTGTCTTCGAAACCACCCAACGGAGAACCCTGATTTGGGGCATACCCATTTGCTTTGTGATCAAGTCTCTTTGTGCTGGAAATGGGCACGATTTCCTTGAGCAAGAGCCGTGCTTTGACAGCGAAAGTCTGAAACGAAACATGTCATGTCTTTTCGCATCTGACCTCGTTTTCCATCGCTGCGTAGGTGTGCGATTGCAATCATTGAACCGTGGAAGTCACATGAGAACAAGCATGCTGCTCCAACGCTCGAAGCAGGGATTCGTAGTAGGAACAAACATGCGCCGAGCGGTTGTTCATGAATAAGTAAATGCCTTCCCAATTTTACTTGACCTCATGCAAGAGAGGACTGCAAAGAGTCCTCTCCGCAACAACCGGGTGCTTCTTGTTGAAGTGCTTTCTAGGATCTCCGAAGTCAACTGTGGGGAGAACTCAGGCTGAGTCATAATCGAAACCTGGAATTCAAAGAGTCTACCCCGATCCCAAGAATTCAAAAGGCGGATATCCGCACCCAATGGTTGGGACTATCCCTTACTAACCTTCATCTGCCCGAATTGGCTTTGATTGTGACGCTTTGACGTCCTCCGGGACCGGCTCCGGAGCATCTTCCACCTGAGTCCGGTGACACATGGGAAGTTTTACACGTCCCTGCGCGATTCACGCTTGGGCGGGTCCCCAACAATCGCCTGGTACAAGTAGAAACCCTCTTAAAATACATAGTTTCTGTTCCATCGACGCCCCCGTGTTTTTCCTCTGCCCAACATAGCCAATGGCAACTTCTTTCCAAAGCCCACATCCAGCGAGCATCTCCATTGGCTTGAATCCGGTGGAAAACAACACATTGATGATCAATTCCCTGCAACATGGAGGTGGTGTTCAATTTGGCCAACACGTAGCCTTTCGGAGCCCTGTTGAGGCCAGGATCTGGCGGCTCCTGTTGGCTGGCAAGCAAGCGCTTGCTCAGCATGGTTTTGGGCCTGGTGGGCCCTGACTTTGGAAGGAAGACCGGGCAGATTCATCTTGGACAGAACAGCTGGCCGCATCAGAGCGAACAACACATCCAGAAACTACCAGTACGGTTTGGCAACTCTTCAGTGCAAACACCACGCTACTTCACCCCATCTCCAAGAAAATAAGGCGGAGTAGCAGCTGCGCTAGTAACACGGAAGTTGCTGCTTCGAGGTTGTGGAATGTTGTAGAATGCTACTCTGACAACCAAGGCAACTCACAACCGGCCAAGTTTCATGAACATGCGGGGCGTATGTTTCCGGAGCTCCACGTTGCCCTGCGCGTTTTGCCCTCACCCAGACGGGTGATATTCTCCGAATCCTTGGAGTAACATGTCCCAGAGGGTCCAAGTACCTCTGAGGATGGCTTTTGAGGGGTCAAAAGGGGTCTAAGTACGTCCTTAGAAAGTACTGACCCTCTGGGTGTGGGTGTTTTGAACTTGGGATTCTCTGGGAGGGGAATCCTTCCGGTTGCTCATCTCTTGTATTTGTGAGTTTTATGTGTAATTGGCTACAAATGGACATTAGCATGTGTCAACTGCCATCCTTATTTGAAACAACAAGCTCTTTGGAAAACGTGACCTCGACCTGAAATCCGCGGTGCAAGCTTATCCTCTGCCAATGGACCGAAAGCCGGTTCGGAGAAATCAAAGTTTGCCGTTTGAGTTGGGATGCTTCGCCGTGCAACGAAGAAAGTGCTCCCCAACGAATCTGGCAATCCATGAAGCATAGTGGTATGAAGGAAACGATCTGCGTGCACGCAGGAATGTCGCGCGCCATGAGCGAAGTGCTTTTTTCCCAGACCCTTGATTTGCCTGCTCGGACCTTTCGGGGAATAAAGGCCTAAGTGAAGGCCCTCTTTCAGGGGTTGACGTTTTGGCTGGAAGGCCCCAAGGATCCGGCGTCCTTCCCATTCTCCAGGATCCCTTTCTTTGTGCACCGGGGCCGGAGAGAATAAGACAAGGCAACCAGGAAACTGAGGTAGGTCCTATTCTCCGCTTTTTGGGAGTCAACAAAAGCTGCTCCAGAGACTCGGGCGCTGCTTTAGGGGCTTGCATGGACGAAATCCATTTCGCACCACCTAAGAAGCCCTCGAATGATTCCCCCTGTCAACCCACAAACATATGTTTCCCATTGCTTCAAAGTGCGAACGGATTTTGGTCCGTCCACAGGAGACTCCCAACCTGCAAGGTTGAAAGTCAAACCAAAGCCACGCGTTCAAAACGTGTCCGGTGAAGCGAGCCTTGGCGGCCACATGAGCGCTGGCCACCGGCGCGGCCGGCTCCTGGGGCCGACGGGTGTCTCTTTTTGCTGGTTGGTTTCTCACTTCCTGGACTTGCCAACAACAAGCTCTGGAACTTTTTATCTACCAAAATGGTCCAAACCCAAAAAGACTAAAGGTCCAAGAACTCAGGTCAGGGGAAACCCAAAGGAAGGCAAATATGCTTGGGTTCCTTGTTTTTTTAAAGAAAGATGCTGCGTGGCTGGCGGATTCTTGCATGAGCTCTGACAATCCAGCCAATACATGAGCACATCTGGTGGATATCCGAGCTAGTTTGCAGAATGCTCCAAAAGACAAGTTCGGATGTCATCCCTGTCCAGCATTTCCCTCCGTCCACCGGTGGGATTGTCGACTTCGAGCTTCTAGCAACAATCATCTAGATCTCCTCGACCAAACATGTTGAGCCCCATACAATGCGGCTACCAGAAACTCGCATTCATCAAGCGGAATGCCCAATATGGGGAAAATCGATGTGGCCCAACAAACAATGCATGCCCGCGACAACTGATTCGAAGCTCCGCTTCAAGACTTAGCTATGCCCAACAGAAGTAAACCAGTCCATAAATCGCAGTCAAGGGTACTCCCTGGAAAAAAGTTCCGTTTGCAACAGTCAAATTGCCCCTTCTATACTCCTACTATCAAACCCACACACACACACAAACACACGACGCACCACATCCGCAGGCCCGAACGCCCGCCCGCACCCACCCTCACATGCACACGTGCGCACCCACGCACGGCCGCACGCGTATCGATGCTCCCGGTTGGAGCCCCTTGCCTTGTAGTCCTTGGGCGGGGCAAAGTCCACATTCACGTCCGCCTCGATGATGGAGATGGCTTTCGCCGGCTTGCACTGGCGAAGCTGGGTGTCAATCAGGCTGTGCTTTTGAATGAAACACCGTGATGGGACAAAAACGCAAGTAGGTGGGCACTTTCTCTGTTTCATTGCCGATGTCTAGTATACAGTGGCGTGCGTTTTGCGTTGACACCGGTGTCTGGAGAAAAAAATAGGTGGTCAGTTGCTTTGCTTTAATGTCGGTGTCTGAACAAAAAAACACGCCGGTTTGGTTTCCTAATTGGGTAAAGCAAACATTTGGCACCCGGCAAAACAACCCAGAGAGCGATCGGAAATGACCCTTCCGCAAGCCGCAGAGAGGGATGAACAGAAAGTGCTTGCCTAGGCAAGGAAGTCCCTGCCTCCTTTTTTGACTGTACTTCTCTTTGGATTCGTCCAAACTGGGCCTTCCTTTGTTGGGCAACTCCGAAATCACTCTGCTTGAAGCCTGCAGCAACGATCCGCTTAAAGACCGCAACCAACAACACGTAGTGTTGGAGAACTTTGCTTGCCGATGCGCTTGCATCCGGACGAAAAGGACACCCCACAATGGGTGGGTCATTTCAGAGAACTTAGGGGGGCATCAGCGTGTACACATCCCCAATCAAAATGTAAACAGAATGGCCATGGGCCCCTTACCTGCGAGCCAGCACTGGCACCTGGCTAACATTCTCTGCATGCCTAATATTTTGGTACCGGGACCCAACAGCCCCGGAAACCCCCTGGAACCGAATCTCCGGAACCCTCCCCAAAAGCTGCCCGAAACCAGCCCAGAGCCTATCTAAGCAGAGACCAACCATAGCTTTCGCTGTTAAACAAACTAGTACACGCACCAGCCCACATGAGGAACCGCGCCACTCAAGCGGCAGGGTCATCACTTGACAATCTTAACCAACACCACCAAACAGCTCAAACTGAAATTGCCTCCGGCAATCTATACGGAAATGCTCAAGGGGACCAGGTTTTCTATTCACTAAAGAGTTGTTCGTTCCAAACCAGCCTCCACAATCTCGATCTCATATTTCCTTTGATTGTAGTCGATCACCTGGGCTTTGACTTGCTTTCACGGCGCAAGCAAACCGAGATGGGGTACCAAAATCTCATGACAGGCCAGGTTTGCACATGATTGCAGGCCCCAACTACTTGAAGACCCCACGGCTGAGAAGAAAGAAAACAAAACGTACTTCGAATGAAACATACAGTTTCATTTCGCAAGGGCCGCTGCGCTGCGCTTCGTCCACACGTTCCACTTTGGTCTATCTTCTCTTCAAATTCGCAGCTTGTCTTCGTCAGGACTTTGAACAGCAGAAATCAAACACTCAAACATAGAACTGCTAGATGCTAGATGCTTGTTTGGTCTGTTGCTGGCACATCATTGCTTGAGTAACAAGGAGACACACGACAGAGCGGGGCCAGAGCCGTGCTGAGGTGGAAGGTCTTCCGAGGGAACCTTTCTTCATGCTCAGGGCACCAAGCGCGTTACGCGGTGATTTCCATGCAGGATGTCCCCCATCTTGACGGCCCAAAAGTGTCTATTGCGAGTGCCTTGGGTGTCTTTTCAGGGCGATGCCCAGACTACGAGTACTACGAGCACTACGAGTACTACGACCATTATTGCTACTGCTACTGCTACTGCTACTGCTACTGCTACTAAAATTTTGACTATTTGGCACAATTCCAGGTGGCGGTCGTTGCCTCACTCAAGTCCAAGCTACACAACATATGACACCTGGCCAGCTGTTTTGCCATTTCAAGTACCAGGCAAGTGAACGTGGAACCCCAGAAAATTCGGAAAACATATTTCTCCACAGATTATGGGTTATAGTCACTCACTTCATGCAACATAGATGTATGTGTGTGTGTGCGTATATTAAATGCGCTTTTGGGGAACCTCCTTTTGGGTGCTTTTCAAGAAGCCCAAAGGAAATCAACCCCAACAAGCAAAACGTCGCGCTGATAATGCCAAAGGTGGACTGAGATGCCGTGCTACGCAGTCGCCCACGGTGAGGGTGGCGAAATTCCTGGACGATTACACCAAAATCCTCGAACAAGGGATCCGTCTTTCCAGAATACCACCTAAAACCAAGGGAAAGCAGGTGGCGTTAAAAAAAAGGGGAATCAAATCGAAAAGACTGACTTTTTGGGGCCGCACTTGAGCTCACGACGGAATGTGAGACAAGGTGCAATCTCTTGAAATGCGTGACGATGTCTGTCAACTGCTCACAGTGCGGCCTGAACCCTGGTGCAATGCATACTTCAGGAGGGCGAAAGCTCTGCCCTCTTGCAACGTAGCATCAACACGCTTGCGGGTCATTCTTTTTGCAAGTAGGAAGATTGACCTCCCGGTTGCTCTTTCACTTGAAGGAGGATTCCAATGGTGTATCCCTAGGCTTGTTACAGTGACTGTGGGGCTGTGGAAATCTAGTCAATTCCAAGCAGACGACATGCCAGAAAGGAACATGCGTGTTTCTGTGACACTCTCAGCTGCAAACACTAGCGAAAGCATGGACCACTCAACGCCACAAGTCGATTTCAGGACCCGGGTTTCCTTGTGTCCAGGGTGTTTCTTTGCAGATCTTTGGAATCAGTCTGTCAATTTTGCTCCATCAACTTTCCGAAATCTCCGGTGAGATCGCATTTCCCACTGGCAAAAGGGTGGACCTTTCCATTGCAATTCGGTCCAGTTCACCCAGGCCCGCGCCCCTGCGAAGAAAACATGTTCGGGAGGACTCTGTTCATTCGGATCCCTGAGAAATACGCTGACCAGGCCACTGGTCGGGCAGTTCTCAAGCATGAATTTCGTGCTATTTGCCCAAAAGCAAAAAGCAACAAGACACTTGACTCAGCCTCTATCACTCACTTCTGAGTGGATTGGCCGGAAAACGTCTGAACCTGCTATTTGTCACTAACATGAATGATCTTCCCCAAAAGTTCAGTGAGTCCAGGAGCTCAGATCATGTAGCTGTTCACGCCATGGCTTGTCTCTGCCCTGCAGGCCCAGGCCTCAAGGAATTCTCCAGGACCGCCCGAGGGTTGTGAATGTCCAGGAAATCCTCGGTGCCAGCTCTGCACACCCCGGCCCTGCCGCTGCTTGCAAAATTTGCAGACCGTCCGAGCCATTTTCCCCCCTTCTGTTTTGGGGAACCTCCAAAAGTCGAAACCGGTCCTTTCAATGGAAAAGCCACTCCGAAATTGCAACGAATTGTTTCCGGGGGGAAATCCAGTGACCCCTGATTTGTGGCCAAAGGCACGCCGACTTGGCCTCAAGTCTCTTGCCGGAGCACCTATCTGGTTGTGTCACTTTTATTTTGGGTTTCCTTTTGGCTTCCCTTTCAAAACGCAGCAAACAAATGGTACCCGTCAACAAAGAGACATATACCCATCCCACGCATGCGCCCGACTCGCTCGAATCGGACCCCCCCCAAGCCAGTTCCGAGCCCCGCTCCGAATGCACTGGCTGCAGCTTGACGAAGCTCCCTTTGGGCAGCGTGGTGTTGGTGATCTCGGCGAGATCGATATCCCAAGGCTCGCGCCCCGGTTTGCATGGACACCGGGTCCTCCAGTAGAGCGGTTAGAATAAGGGTACCAACTTTTTCGGTAGTCTATTTTAGTAGGGGGAACCCTCCCCCCAAAAAGGGGAAAAGGGCACTACTGGGGGGACCTAGCCAAGTAAAACATCGAGGCAAAAACAAACAAGCGGAGAAAATGCGACCGACCGTCAGGCGAATATCCCAACAATCAGGGCGAATGAGGCAAAGATAAAATATGAGCGAATGTCAGGAGGACATCCCAAGGATCAGGGCGAATGAGGCAAAGAGAAAATGCGACCGAACATGAGGAGGAAATTGCAAGGATGAGGGCGAATGAAGCAAAGAGAAGTTGCGACCGAACGTCAGCAGGGTGTTCCTGAGCACAAGTCGTGGCAGTGTGTTGACAACTGTGTGAAGCACTGTGCTGCTAGTTGTTTCCAAGTCTTTCTGTAGGGGAAAGAGACAATGACCAAGCATCAAGCATGGCGGCTATTTCTGAAGCATGGGCCCCTCTAGGGTGGCAAGCCTGGAAAGCACACTCACATGTCCACATTCGACTCAGAACGGCCCGGTTCCGGCAAACCTGGTGCGTAAACTATCAACGTAGGAGCACCTTCCCCCCTGCCGCTTGAAAAGATTTGAGCCCCTGGCTCGCACTAAATCACCCTCTGTGAGCAAGAGGTTCTGCCTCATGCCGGACATGTGGTCGGCTGAGCTTCTCTCAAGTGAAAGCTGGCACTCAAACATAATGGGTGTCTTCTTTTAGGGGTACCCTTTCTGGATCAAAGGGAAACCAAGAGGAAGTTAGTGGTTTTGGGGGTCCCCGTCTTTCAATACACACCTATATACAAGCTGATCACGGCTTATCATCCAAGGTTCAGTCTCAAAGCTTGTCAATGGCAAGGCCATCTGAAACCCGTGCATCGAGAGGTATATTGTTTCCTCGTTTTTCCAGGGAACGGGACGGCTTGTGTATGGCGGAGCACATTGTTCGTCGTTTGCGAAACGATGAAACGAGCCTTTCACTGCAGACTTGAGCAGCCTCCGCAATCCTTGACGCATCTGAAAACACATGGGCCCGGGCATTTGTCAAAATAGGGGACCGAAATGGGTGGCTTTTCCGTGTGGTTTCCTTTAAGGGTACCCTCAAAAGACAAATGCACACACGCCCATGGCTAGCAATGCCTGTCAAGCAAATTTGTTTTTAGGCGCCCTACCAACATGCGTGCTGCTTCTGAATTCACTTGTGGCATCTATGTAGCCCATTGTAGCCCGTTAGCATGGCCATTTTTCCCCCGGAACATGTTCTGCACCACGTGGCGGTGTTGCCAAGCCTATACCTGGACCCACCGTGGGCACTTTTTTTGGGACAGTCCGCCTAAATCCGTCCGTTTCTCGGAAAAGCGTACGTGGCAGCAAAAAACGGTCCGTTTCTTAGGTCGTCCTTCCTTTTCAATCCCACATAGGGAGCAGTCCCCTTTTGCGTCACGCCGCTTCAACATGCTTTGGCCGAAACATTGAGATCTGGCTCATTTTTAACCGCCTCCATATAGAAACTTACGCTTGCACAAGGGCCCTTGCATGTCAAAACCGTTTGCGGGAAGCCTTGCGGCTTTGCCAACAGCATCCTCATTTGCTTCGCAGCTATATATGACAAGTGCGCAAGAACAATCCATCAAGGAGCTGCTGAGGTCTTGTTAGCCTGCACGAAATGAAAGCAACAAAGCTCTTATTTACAAACGGCCCGCCGGGTCCTAATAGTCTCTGTAGGCCACGCTTGATGCTCATATTTCACAAGCCCATAAGAATTCAACGCATGCTTTCCCAAAACTCTTGACGGATGCGCGTAACTTTGCGTATTTGAGTCTACAGCTTTTAAGGGAAGCAGGAAACAGTTGCGGGGACTTTCAGCTAAGGAGCTTCGCCCATGGCTTGAGTTCTCAAAGATTCCGCACGACAAGGCAAACAAGAAATCTCGACAATGACACAGCGCGTGAATCATAGCTTTGCACAATCTAGGTTCCCACGACCACAAGACCCATAGACACCAGGTATTATTGGAATCCGTTGTTTTCCGTCCGTTTCCCGTCTTTTTCCGTCCGTTTCCCGCCGTTTTCCGTCTGTTTTGTGTCTTCCAATGTCAGACAAACTTTGCAATATGTTGCATGAACACATCAAAGGGGGCAAAATAATTAGGTCCGCCTTGCCCGGCCGCTCTCAGAGCTCAACAGGTAGGCAATCTCAAAACGTTGGTGGATTTTGAGCTCCTTGCAGCCGTTGGCAAATCGACTTACACCAGTTTATGCACATCTGAGTGAACGTTCTGGTAGCCCTTCTGGTTGAACATGTTCAGATATCGTTCGCTCGTGGCTACTGGGGCGGGCCACAAGGGTTTTTTGTCGTAGAAGCAACGCACACCCCAAGTCTTGCGTTTGACAAGTTCTTTCCAGGGGCAATTGGGAAGTCGTCAAATCTTGCATGGGGGAGAGATGTTGGCATGCAATACTCTGTTGTGACAACATGTCACAACGTGTGAGGCCCTGCTTACTTGATTTGCGCTATAGAACCTTTGGACTGCACCTGGCACAAAGCATTGATGCAGAATGGTACCAGGGGGTGCACCTGAAAGGGTTTTGTTAGAAAACAAGTGGAGCAGGCAGGCAGTTGGTAAAAAGCTTTGCAACGGAAGCATGCAAAGACAGCCTCCGCAAACTAGCTGTAAGGAAAGAACAACAACTGCCTCAATTCCTCCAAAACTGTTTTCCGTCCGTGGGTCCTCAAAAGAGTCAGCTGACGGAAATTTGTGGCACAGACGGAAATTTCCATGCTTTAGGAAGGTCCAGGTATATGTCAATAGTCTGGCCAATATGCACTTGCCCGCCACACGGAGGAAAAGGACGTCTGCTTTCATCGTGGCACCCAACACAAAGGCGAAGGCAGCAGAAGCAGCAAATCGAATTTGGATACGTCTCAAAATAGAGGAACTCACCACCATGTGTGGTCCTCCTTGTGGTTTCAGAGGAACTCACCACCCTGTGTGGTCCTCCTTGTGGTTCCCCCCCCGGAGAAAAAAATGTCCAATAGTGAAAGATTCCCTATAAAACCAACAAGCGAACAGAACAAATACTCTGAAACACAAATGGAATGACCTTCCGAGTTGTGGGAATGAACCGTTTGGAATTCCCGCAAAAAGGACACCAAATCGGAAGTGGATTCCCATTCCATTTCTCATTCCCTGCCCATCGAACCAGCAAGATTAACAACACGCCCACATTCATTTATCCATACAACAGAAAGTACCAAGACCTTGTGGTTTGCTGAGAATGGGAGTCAACCACCTAAATTTGAGTAGTTCAGACCAATGACCACCCCTGGTTTCCAGCCATCCCCTCAGGTTGTTCGCATTTTCCATGTTTAAAACCTCAACCAAACCCATCGGCCTGGACATCCCCACGAACTCCGCGCGGCGATCTCTTTTTGGGGGCACGGGCATCATCCAGTAGGGGAAGAAGCAGGTGCCCTCCTCAGCCTCGGAGCCGGCCAGGCAAAACAGGGTTCAGTTCTTGGTTTCTCTTGGCTTTGGCTTTTGGCGTTGACTTTGATTGTGGTTTTGGCTGGTTTTGGATGGTACAGGGTTTTGGTTGGTTTCTCTTGGTTGGTTTTGGTTGTGGCTTTGATTGGTTTTGGCTGGTATTGGTTGGTTTTGATTGGTAGTAGTTAGTAGTTGGTTGTGATTGGTATTGAATGGTGTTGATTTGGTTGGTTTTGATTGGTTTGGTTGATTTTAAAGGAAGGAACCCGTCACACGCACAAAGGGACACTCACCCAAACCAAGCTCGATCAAGGCATGACTAATTACAGAACACACACACACACACACTACACCCGTCACACAGCCGTGCACGCGCAAACACGTGGGGCCCGGGTCCGGGCTCCATATCCTGAACCGCGCAGAGCTTCGTTGGCCCCAGCTGCGCGGAAGGTGACCCGCCTTTGACCCAGGTAAAGTCCTTCAACTACACCCATGGGAACATGGCGGAGCTGAACATGGAGGATGGTGCTGTCAAATGGCTTTTGGTCTCAAGCTGTCTCACACACACACAAACACACACTCGAACATCACACACGCACGCGCACACACACAAACACATGAGCGGTGTTCTGAATCCAGTTGCGCCCGAAGAGAAACATGGCTGTCGCGACATGAGAGGTTCCTTTCGCGAGAGAGGTTTGATGAGGCAATCGCTTGCGCGGATTGCGAAGTGGGCTTGAAGTTTGCGTTTGCTTTCGCGGACACTGGGAAATGCAATTTTGTACGACCCGTTCTGAGAATCCCCTTTCACGGATTGAAAAATAGGCTTCCCCTTTCGCGACCCTTTCATTTCTGATAGAACCCTTGCGCGAATCCTTTGGCGGCCGATAAAAAAGCAACAAGTTGAATGCAACAATTCTTCGCAAATGCTACTTTCAAATGAACTGGTTTTGCAACGTCTCTCACATGCAGAGCACACCCACAAGCGCGCACAAAGGCACGCCAGCGCGCCCGCCCGTCAACGCCCACGCCCGCAAACACTTGTGCACGCCGTACGCAGGCGCATCGCACACACGCGAACGCGCGTGCAAGCGCAAACGCACCCACACAAAACACAACGTGCATCATGCAAACATGCGACGCAACAGAACACAACATAGAACACATGATACAAACAAACACACACCCACCCACCCGCCCGCCCGCCCGCCGGCACTTATGCACGCATCCATGCACGCATCCACCCATATATACACACACACACCCACACGCCACACACCACACACCACACACCACACCACACACACAGAGAAACATACACACAGCATAGGACATTCAACGCACAACACACACGCAGCATAGGACACACCACACACAACACATACACACCCACACAAACAACATGGAACACACACACACACACACAACACAACACACAAATATACACAATCACGCACACAGGACACAAATACAGGACACACACACAGAAACACTGCATACACAGCATACACACACACACACCAGACACCACACCTTACACAAAGCTCACTCAGACACACAACAGACCACATACATTGCACACCGCACATAGCACACGCATACCACACGCGGCGCACACACACACACACACACACTCTCAGAGACCCGTACAGCATGCTAAGCACGCATAAGAAAAGAGCGCACATAGCGAACAAAGAGCACAACGAGCACAAAGAGCACGAAGAGAACAACACACAGCGCAAACTACACACACAGAGACACACAAACACACACACACACACACACACACACACGAAACCAACACGCCCAAACAAAATCATGCAAACACAACAACATCCACATCTATATACACTAGTTTGTGGCAAACACAGCAGTGCACAAAGCAATGATTGGCGGACATGGCATCTGAGAATCCGGCAATGAATTCTTGTACACCTCCGTGTGTAGATCTATTTGTAGCTGGATTGGTCATCTGGCAGCACGCGCCAAGACCAACAAGTCGGAATGACAGCCGCCAACAAAAACATGATTGGGCAACAAGGGACGGTAGTTGCCTGGCCAAAACTTCGAACACGTGAGCTAAAGGGGAATTCCAGTGCGCTCAAGGGGGACAAAGGGCTGTGTTTCTTTGATCTCCTTTTTGGATGTAAAAGGCAATTTGAGGGGTTCCCCTATTGCGAGACAAACCCTTCTGGCAGGCTGCGTTTTCCGCTGGCGAGACGCAGGGGCACTTTCGCCCGAATGAGAACAACCGCTGCGCATCTTCCATTCGCATCAGCCCCCTAGTGATACATTCCATTTAAATTCTAAAAAGGAAAATAAAAACATGCTCTTAAGCAAATGGAAGGCATGAAACAAGCTAAAGTGCCCTTCCGGATTGCATCTACCATGCAGCAAGCAAAGCAAAGGCGGTACAAGTGCCAGGACAATTCATCACCGCACATGGCTGGAATATGGAGATGACGTGACATAAGAGAGAGGGACTGTGGGCACAGCAGAGAAAAACCTACCACAAAACATGTATTCATGTCCGCCCAAACATTCCGGTCGTTGTGGGTTGTCAAACAGAAGAAGTTGGGGTCATCTATCGGCTTCTTCCGCTTGATTTCTCCAGTGAAAGCAGATTGCAGCAATCCCTGTGTGCGGGCAAGCAAAGGGGAAGACTGAACCACATGTGGGAATTGTGACATCCACTTTCAAGTGAATGTGCTGGAGTCCATGAGATAACAAGCCAATTTCTATGACAGGCATCGAAGCACGGGGTGCACCAACCCTGGACGGGACTCAAATGTTAGAATCAGGAACCCCAAGCAGCCTTGCTTCCTACTCCGGCCTCGCAAAGTCTAAAAAGGGTGCATAGTTTTCAACCATGGGAGAGATGGTCGAACAATGGCGGGGCATGTGTGTGTGTGTGTGTGGGGTGCTACAAATTAGGGAACCCACACCCCGCCCAACAATGCTTGTTTACAATGCTATATTATCTAGGTTGTTTCAATTTCAGCTCGTGTGAAATGTGAGACACGCATCCCAAGTCTAGACAGCTTGCGGAACACCAAACATGATACCCTAAACAGCCACATAATTCTGGAGGAGACCTTGGGCTTTATGATAACTTTCCGATTTAGTGGGAAACATCACCTTTCTTGTGTTTCCCCCAAACATCCCATGTAAAAGACCTTTTGATCACCCCTGCACAAAATCGTTTTGGAGGACACCTGACACGGCCTTTCGGGTCCGTCGTCGTCCAACCTTCCGTTTGACCCCGCCCGACCCGACTCGCCGACGTCGTCGTTTGGATCGCCTCGAACAGCATGGGCCAGGAGATGTTCAGCCGGGCCAGGTGGTCCAGTGCGGACTGCGGGAGGATGATCCTGATGCGGTCCCATGGGTCCCACGGGTCCCATGGCAGGGGCAGGTGCCTGGCCTTTTAAGGCTTCCTTTTCAACGACTAAAAGAAGACCCTGCAAAGGTGTTCCAAACAACAAAAGAACGTTGAAACCCGTTTCAACCACTAAATTCACTAAAAGCATACCCTACAAAGGTCATACAAAGAACACAATAACGTGTTGAAGCCAAAGAAAGAGGCTCTGGTCGCGAATGAGAAAGTTATTACCAGAGGTTGTGCAGTGCTTCAAGATTATCTCGGAAGATGCAGTGCATTTGACTTGGACCCAGTTAACCCTGTAGTCGGCACAACAGGGGGGCCCAATAGGTAGGTTGTCCTTTTGGTGAAACGGGTATCCCCCCTTCGAAAACACAAAACACGCGCACACACCCACAAGGTATACAGTGGCTGGACAAAATCAGTTTTGCAACAGTTGGGATGGACACCACCCTATGAGTGCATAAGTACAGTAAACCGCCCACGAACTGGTGCAAAATGTTGACCATCCACTGTAGGGCCACTTTCGGTGAAAAAGAAAGAACAACTCAAGCGGGGATATCCCTCTTTGGTATCGTAGAAATGGGTTGGTCTCAACATTAGAGGAGTCCCCCCCTCAAAATTGCTGGCAAACCCTGGTCTCTTTCTGCCAAGCGACGATGGTTTACATTCGCGGCAAGTTGGTGAGCAGGCAACCATGTCATCCTCTTAGCAGCTTCACAACATGGTTTAATTTTAGCCAAGTGCCTCACCTTTGCTCACGGTGAGTGTCAGGACTGGTCTTCGGATACATGGCGCCTTGGAACGTGGGTCATAGTCAAGTTTAGCGTTGCTTTTTTAGCATTGCAAAGGGCCATCAGCACCCTGGTATCTTGTTACCAATGTGTCCCAATCATGTCACACCAACGCTGCTCCAAACTCTCGTGAGAATTGATTGAAAGGTCCGTGGCATTGCCTGGTGTGGGGCTGGGTGTGCCATGGTGAAACCTATTACCCATGTGACAAAGCGATCCGTCATGCTTCCTCAGAGCTCAGCTCGTATTTACATCAGTGGGGCGACTAACCGGGGGGGGGGGGGGGGGCAGGGGTAACAAAAGAAACCACCGCCTCAGTCCAAGGAGGTTGCTGCTCAAATATTCGCCGGCGCCTCATGTACTCTCTTTTGGACAAGGCAGATAGACTAAACCTCCGAAAATGTCTAGTTGTGAGACAAGTTCAGCATGCTTTCCTATTCCCGCCGTACCCTTCTTGACTAAGGTCAGCACTTGTTGCCCTTCTCGAGCTCTTCTTTGCCCATGAAAGACACCGGGAAGACTTGGTACTGGTTGTCAAAGCGGCCTGCGAAAAAAAACACATCTGATGATTGATCGAATTCGTCGCACGGAAAGATTTGCTTTGCTTGCTTCGGCTACCCTGGGATCCACTGGTCGCTGGGTTCGGGTACATGGAACCATCGAAGGGTGACAAAACAAGACTCTCATGCCATGTTGGAAGGCACCCTTCGTCAAGTGTCATGTTGGGTGAAAGTTGAGCTAAGTTTTCTGGGGAGCGACGCGTGCCGCAATAAGCTATGATTGCAACCAACATGTGCCTCAAGGTCAATTGGTCGCAATCGCAGCTTCCTTTCTCGGAGCCTGTTACGATGGCTGTCTAACATCCTCAACTTATCAAAGGGTTGTGACCATGGCGCTTCCGCTGCTCGACATGCAAATGGACACACAACTTGCCAAGCTCGGCTCCAAGCACGCGGTGCCAACCCTTCGATGTAGGTTGAGCGTCTCCGCGGCATCTATGCCGAGTCGCATGAAGGAGTCTCGCAGAGGTTCTGCGCGTGACAATGTGATGCTTTGGCTTCTTTCATGAAGCTGCTCACCGCTGCAAGAGCTTCTGGGCCAGTGGCAGGGGACGACAACAAACCAACAAAGAGTCGCGGCTCCTGTTTGGAAGCGGATGGAACCACCAGGTCCGTGGTCGACAACTCCTTATGTACGGGATCAGTCCCTTCGAAATCCCGGAAAAAGGTGCTTTGACCATATCACACTTGGCCAGTGAACCCTTCTGAAGGCGGCGAAAGTCAGGGCAACTAACGTGCCTTGGAAGCGCACTGTGAGGGTCGGAAACCATTGACCTTTGGCAGACTGCCATAGCTCTTAAGCTTGACATACGCCTCACTACGTAGAACAGGGCTGGAAATGGAATGCACTGTGATACAACAGAAAGGGCTTCCCAAAGACTAACTTGCTGGTGCGCAGGAGGGAACGTGGGAATGAACCCAGGCTTCGTTCTCAAGGAAACCACAAGGGATGGTTTATAGGGGTCATTCCATTTCTCATTCCTTGAGCACCAGCAAGCCAACCCTATTGGACTTTGGGCGCTGCTCTGGAGGCTTGGCACGGTCCATGGGAGAACTGATGCAGCTTGGAGTTGTTACACCTCATGGGCGGGGGAGGAAGGGGCGGGGCTCAGCATGGTGGGTCCTGCGGAGCCTTTGTTGAATCATGCTGAAGCCATTCCACTGCCTGGAACACCTCCTCCGAAGAAGCCACCTGCGCAAAGGTTGGGGTACGTGTACTTGGCTGCGGCAAAACACCCCAAAGGCCGTGGCAAGAAAAGGGCACCCTTTGCTCCTTGCTGGTGCGATAGGTCAAAAATGACCCAAGGTTTGAGAATGAACCATTTGGGATTCCCCCAAAACGATAGGGGCCATTCCAACTCATTTCTTGCTGAGAGCCAGCAAGTCTTTGTTGGTTGATTTTACCTCCAAAAGCAAAAATGGACACCGCTGGCCCTGGCCTTTGCCTTGAACACACAGATGAAACCCCGAAGCCCTCTTGCCATACCTTCCATTTGGTGAAGACCCATGGAAAAAAATATGTCCAGTAGTGGTAGATTCCCTTTACAACCAACAGGGGAAAACAACAAATACTCCTAAGCAAATGCAAGATACCTGCCCTTCAGACTTTGTGCTGGAATGACCGGCCGGCCATCACAACGAACCTGTTGGTGAGATTGTTTGAGGGCTCAGGTTCACCAAGCTGCTCAGTGAGAGCGCAGGGGTATTGAAGAACCTGCACTTTGCAGATCCCCAGCTCCCACTAAGGGCCAAGTGATCCTGATTGCCATTGCTTATACACGTCGCCAATTGAAGAAGTTTAAGGGTGAGATCGGGTGGGGTGCCGCACAAGAAAGCTTGAAGGTGGCCAGCCAGAAAATGGAGGTCCACCAATCCACCAACATCTGCCTGCTAGCAACACACCTGCATCTTCCACGGAAACACCATTGACCAACCAATGATCGGTGTAGAGCCAAGTGTTTGAGCGACGCCAGGGAACAACACAGAAGTTCCCACAGGTGCTTGTGCAATGGGCAAAGTGGGGCCCTCCAACTGGCAATAGTCCCTTGTATATAGGTGGCTGTGGGCGAAAAAACGCTGGTACTGACAATTGCACCTTGGCATATGGCACCAAGACCAACACCTGCATAGCCCCAGCTGCAAAATTTCGAGCCACACCCAGCTTTGTCCATGGCAGGTGTTGCAAACTCGGAGGTTCACAGTCCCAGGCCTAACCCCGACGCGCGAGCCTGGGCCCCTGTCGCCACCGAAGAGGCCCCCGCCGAACATGGGCCTCCGAAAGCATCGGCGGTCGTGCCAGACCAACAAAACGATGAGGACGTGTCAACTCAAAATGACATTGGGCTTTACTGGCAAAGCAATTCATCTGACAAAGTCCCATGTCTTTTGTTGATCCCGAAGTTTCGAAATTCCCCGATGGAACTTGCGGGTCAACATTCGCCGTGGGCATCGCTATCCCTTGGATCCCAGCGCTCTCTGGAATCCTTGCGCAAGGCACCGGAAGCAGCGGACTCTACGACGTCTGTACACGTTCGAGCCGAGCGCCTCCGGGTGTTTGACGCATGCCCCAAGTCCTTGAAAAGACACGTACAAGTAGAACAAGGGGAAGGCCAACAAGTTTTTACAATGTGAAGCCTGCTTTGCTGACTGGAAACATTTTTTCTGGTCAAAAAAGCGGCCCCCCCAAGGGGAAACAAAACATGCCAGGCAGATCTGGGGTAGAGATTTCACACATTTCCCCGTTGACCAGCTGTGCGGCAAATCTATGTTGCAGCGTCCCTTCTCGGCGCCCCCAACCATAGGTCATATAGGCTGTCATACGGTTGGGTTGTGGTGCAGGGTTTGTGTAGGATGGGTTTAGCGTTTGTTTAGGGTTGTTCCCCCCCCCCCCTTCCCTGCGTCGGGTTGTGTTGCAGGGTTGGTTTAGGGTCGGCTTAGGGGGGTGGTTTTAGGGTTGGTTAAGAGCTGGTTCCGGGTTGATTCAGCTTGGTATACTGTGGGTTTAGGGTTCCTTCCGCTCAAGTTAGGATGGACTCAGGTTTGGTTTGGGGTTGAGGTTGGTTGTTTCAGGTTGCGAGCGCCGGGTTTCGGGTTGCATACGTAGTGGTTTAGGGATGATTGGGCGACGGGGGGCCCGGGACGTTGGGGTCTCGGGGGGACCACAGAACACGGGACACTTACTCCTGGTGGTGCTTTGCTTTTCGGCGGGCCGCGGGCCCGCCTAAACATGGGTTCAACAACTTGCATCTGGGGCGCCGGGGCCCTGGCAAAAAGGACAAACAATACGGGAAGTAACTTCAATTGGGAGTCTCTGAGATTATAGCCCAATAGCTGCAAGTCTACGAGAGGCATCCCCGATTTCACGCAAATCGCCCACACCCACAAAACCACGTGGGCAACATATTCTGTGAGTGAGCCACCGCCCACAGAATGACAAGCAACCGCTTGGCTTCAGCTTTCTGAATCCAGCATGCAGCCCGACGTCTTTCCTCCCAAAGCTGGGCGAGTGCGACGTTCTCTTTCGCCTCCGCGGAGCACGAAGCCAACCGTATTGGGGGCTGCCATTGCGTGTCTAAAATAATTTCTGAAATCCTGTCACCTGTCCATGCAACTAGAGTAAACATGAGCAATGCACGGCTCTCTCTCTCTCTCTCTCTCTTTCAACTTCATGATTCACGAGAGCAAACTTGAAGTGGAATCTACGCACGTGATGCCGGCATCTGGTCGAAGAACAAGCATGCTATGACTGAGCGCCAGGATTCAGCTGCTCTACGTCAGCTCTTGCAATGACGTTCCGTGCGATTAAAGGCATCACTTCTGGGCTGTGCTCAGATCCCCTGCTAAAAGTCTAACTTTTAGTGGGTTGAATAGAAACCACCTCTAAACCCTAAAAGCCTGAAAATTTCAGGGGATGGCTGGGAACCTCCAAGAATTCTCATGTCAAGCGCCCTGTGCCGCCTAGGCTTCCACAGGCATCGCGTGCGAGCACGCGGTTGCTAGTAACGCCTCGGGAAGTGACCGAGGCCTTGAGAACCGCAAAAAACACATTGGAAACAGGATCAGGATCCGCTTTAGATTTGTGGGTGTCCTTTAGAGATCCTTCATCATCCATTTGCTCAAGTCCCCAAAAAAGAGTAGTGATGGATTCCCTTTAAAACCAAAGGAAAAAATAACACATAGTCTTAAGCAAATGGAAGTCATGGGTTGCACCCCTTCACAAATGCCCAAAACCACAAAAACAAATAAAAAAAATGGATGACGGAGGCTTTATGGCCCGGTAAGGTTTAACGGTTTGTGCCGAGCCGCGACTCCAACTTGGGCTGGCTTTCTTGGGGTTGTCTCGCGAACCTCCAAAACGGTTGGTGTCCGTTGGGTTCTTTTTCTTCTTTCTTTCACACAAACAAACCATGTCTCGGTCCATTTGTTGTGAAGACGCAATACAATGCGCATCGCCCGAGAGTTGTAAGATGGCTTTCGCCCAACCACTACCCCCAAGGCACATGGGCCACATTGGTGCACAATGGCAGTATCTCTCTATTTTTCCCCCTAAAACCTCACCCACACCAAGGGACACTCACCGTTCATGGGCCAAAAAGCTGATTTTCAAAGCACCAAGACGGGAAATATAGGGACCCCTTTTTTATACCCCATTTCCCCGGGTCGAATATTCGAAAAAGCGCCCTCCGTGAAGCCTTCATCTTCAAAGGCTTCTATCTATCTCAAGGATGCTGCGACGACTCTCGGGCACAGAAACGGGAAATGGATATGTGTCGAAAAAGGGGGTGCCCCCTTTTTCAAAAAAGAGAAGAACAAAAAGTGGCTATCCTGTTGGCTTCCCTTTACACCAACCCCAAAAAGAGGTCCCCTATTTTGAGACGCACTCATAGGTAGAACTCAACATCTAATACTTTTCTCCCAACAGCTGAAAGCTTAAGGGTCTCTGCCCAGATAGGCTCTGGGGTGGTTTGGGGCAGCTTTCAGGGTTCAAAAGGAGATTCGGTTCCGCGGGGCTGTTGGGTCCCGATACCACCTGGGCTTATTTTTCTGATAAGATCGTGAGACACTTTTCAGGGCGGAGCTTTTGACAAACCGACTAGGTCTTCCAGTAGAGAGCTTAGAATAAGGGCACCAACCAAAAAAGGGTAAACCTCCCAACCAAAAAAGGGTAAGAGGGCACTACTGGGGGGCCTAGCAAACCAAGGAGTCTACCGGCATCCAGTTCGTTCGTTCTCTCTCGCCTCCAGAGCTTCGCGCTTCAGCTCCGTACCGATGAAGACCAGGAATGGCGCCTGGCTCGTTGTTGAAACGGAAGGCACACAACTTATGGGTTTTTTTCAAGGGGGGTGGTCCAAGGCGAGGTACCCCCGAGGCTCCCCAAGGAACTTGTGAAGTCCCAAACATGAATTTGTCTTGCAATAGGGAACCCCGCACATGGTGGTGTCCTGTTGGTTTCCCTGTAATGCAACCCAAAGGGTTTCCCTAAAAAGGACACATCCACATGTGGAAGTATCGCGCTCTCCTGCAGGTTTTTCAGGTTTGTTGTGGCCCAGTGATTCCATTTCCTAGCTAGTTGTGGCCAAGTGATTCCATTTCCTTCTGGTCTTGCAAGGTAACCCAAAGGAGCATGGCGAAGGCAAACCCTCACGGTTGCATTTCGGGGAAACCAAAAGGACACCACCATGTACGGGGTTCCCCTATTTCAAGACAAATTCATGTTTGGGACTTCACAAGAATCTGCCGAATGGTGCTCTGGGTTCGACTGGGCTGGACGCATAAACTCTGCTTCCGATTTACTCTTGGTGAAAAGGGGCTCTTCAAGTTCGGCAAAGCGACAACACAGCAATGAAACATTGCAATATGGAAAACAACTGAATGAATAAATAACTAAATGAATGAGTACACAAAAAAAGAGGTAGCATAAACACATACACAAATAAATCAACCAATAAATAAATAAATCGATAAATAAATAAGTATATACATAGATTAATGAATAAATAAACATGTAAATACATAACCACCTATTCATGTGTGGACTATGTATATATATATATACTTGACTAAGCATCCCCAGTGGATCCCAGGCAAACACGAGTAGGAAACCCTTCACCAATTTCCCTTTCAATTTTGACATTGTCCCTTTCCCTACAAAACCAGAATTGGAGCTTTTAAACGAGTGATAAAACAATAACAACAAAACGTTGGTACTCAAGATTGAACAAGTTTAGACAAGAGCAATCGATGTGCAAGCGACCGGAAACCGATATTTGGCCATCTTGTTTGAGCCTGACAACTGCTTTGGCCGGCAATTCTGAGTTGCCTCTTGGGAATTCGTGCCCAGTGTTGGAGTCATCTGATCGCACGCATCCAAAGATGTCTCTCCCGAGCGCTCCTTCACGGAGTCCGACCAGGGCTCAATGGAGACCTGAAGCATTTCAATCCGAATCGCTCGGAAAACCCGGAGAACTTTTCACCAACGAGAGGAATCCACAAACACCAAGATTATATATACTAACCGGTTTCCTCCAAAAACATATCACACTCTTGATGACACTCCATGTCCAACAACGAGTTGCCTTTGCTGAATTTGCTGGGATCCCTCCAATTTGCTCGTACTTTCGGTGCAAACTGACGTTCAATCTGGATTGATCCCATGCTTTTTCATACAGTCAGTGCTCACTTCATGCTGGTCTTCATGGTATATGGGACAGCGTGTGACATGAAGCTGAGCAACCCCTGCAAGGTGCGGCTTGGAGGTCATTGGAACCCCTCCCCACACAAAAACACCGAGCAGCCAAGCAACACGCAGGATTTACCTGGACCCGAACAGTTGTTTTTTGCTTTCCCATCAAACACCCAAAGGGTGCAAGACAACACACCCTGCCGCCTGAAGCGATGGCCACATGAACGAGTTGACACATCGCAGCAGTGTGATGAATGGGTCAAAAATAATGTGTCCCTTTCTGTCTTGGTTGAAGGGCAAAAGGGTCTAACAAAAAGGATTCCCGTTTGGCTATGACCCTCGTATGTGTTTATGATTATTATTATTATTCTTATTATTATTCAATACTACTCTATACATACAAACGTATATATGTGTATACACACATACATTATGCTCCCTCCTTTTGGCCCACACGAACACCCACTGCTAGATCAGCATCCTTCTCAGTCATCTTATATCACGTCAGCATCCTGTTGCATGTTGGCCGCATATGCCGGTATTGCACCAGGTGCCACTGATGTTGACACTGGCTGATTGGTCAGGAGGTTCCATATTCTCTTGCAAAGGTTGAGATCTTCTGTTGTTAGTTGATTTCTTTGTGGATTAGCCGAGGCCCCTTTTCCTACTATGTCCTTACCTAATCCCTGGTAGCTCCGATTTGCTTGCTCTGCGGCAAATTTGGATACTGGGTTCCAGCTCCCTCACAGCTCCCTCCCAACCCCCGGCTAGTTTCTGCTGTCAGGGCTCCACCTTTTTGACAACCCCAAGATGGACTTAGACCCGGAAAATCCCCTTTTGGTGGTTTTGGAACCACCGAGCCTGAGTCTACCCTAGTCAAAAAGTGGAACCTGATGATTGAACCACCCCCGAGCCTAACCCTGCAGTCCAAAAGTGGAACCCTGGGGACCACTGTCAGACCAACCAAAGTGGCGCGGTTCTGATCGCACGACCACTCTCGGGCTCTCGGGCCTGATCCCCGGCTCCCTGAAGGAGGCACAGGCCGCGGCCTGCCAAAAAGGCAATCGCTGAGCCGCGGAGCCAAGCAAAGGAAGAAAAGAACTCGGTGGCTGTCTGCTCCCCTGCTAAAAGCTTTTGACCTTTAGTGTTTTAATGGAAAACCCATTGACAACCAACCAACCAGCCGACCAACCAACCGACCGACCAACCAACCAGGCATCGGATCCTACTATCACTCAACCAATAAATTAATCAATCAATTAACTAATCGTCCAGTTGCTCCATCAATCAGGCAGGGCCCCAAACCTAAGAAAGCACCAGCCCTAGTAAGGATCCTGCTAACGGCACCAACAGGCCGGGCTGAACTGTACTATTTGCAGGTGCTTCGACGTCCCTCTGTAGGGGCTTTTTGTGTCGAGTCTCCGTGTCCAACGGGGCACACCAAGCCAGACACACAGGTCGGCTCCTGAGCAGGTCGCATCCATCAACATGGCAACTGGCAAAAGGAACTCGAAGAACCGCTTTTCTGCAGTTTCAAGTCTCTTGAGGCTTCTGTAGACGCGACCGCGTGCATTCACTTTGGATTACACGTTTGACACGTGCAGGATCAATCCAAACAGTAGCAAAAAGTGGCCCTGAACATGCCCTCACAGCGCGTTACGAAGTGAGAAAGAAACGTCATTCATGCGCAACCGTTACACTTAGAACCACTACCACAACTGTCATTCAATCTCAGAACTCCCTCAACGCAAGCTCATCTCATTGTCTTTTCTCTTGTTGAGTGAGTCTGATTGCCAGCCCCGGGGTCAGTGACATGGCGTGCTCCAATGGGATCTATCCAAACCAAACATGTCGTGCAGTAGCTAAGCTGTTGCAATTAATGTCGGGTTGTAAATGAAGCCAGATTCCAGAAGGAGCACTATTATCATCTTCGCCGATCATCCTCGCATGCTGGTGATCTTGACAAAAGGAATTGCTACTGTCGCCTTTTGGGCATCTTGTGGCACAGCATGGCACATACGCTGCTTGATGAAAGGCCCGTCAAACATATTTACAAAAAATGACTCTTGGGGTGGCTTGCTATATGCAAACACAGACGCACATGCACTCACAATACTTGAAAAGACGGAGATGTCCAGAAACATGTCCTTGCGTAAACACTGGACTTGGAAAGAGTGCGAAGTGTCAGCATGTAAACCCAAGCACCTTCAAGTGTTACGTCTGATTATTTTGGCTTCGCACGGACCTCGAATCGGACATACGCAGTGTCACACCTTTTTCCCGGCCGGGGCCTTGAATGGAAACTATGCCCTTGATGCGCCAGACCTGGCATTCAGGCAGACGGTTCAACAGAACACGCGCTGACCTGTGCCGGGTACACGTGGCTTGTCTTTGAGCATAACTTGACAGGAGAGTACGAGATGCAATCAAGGCTTTCATATCCTGTTACCATACCTAGGTCCTCCAGTAGAGAGGTTAGAATAAGGGTACCCTTTTTTCTGTAGTCTATTTTAGTAGGGGAACCCTCCCCCCAAAAGGGTAAAAGGGCACTATTGGGGGACCTAGATATAGTCAGATAGGACACCCTGAGGGCCATGAGAATTGGCCGCTCTTCGTGCGGCATGTTGCCGCGGTCGCCCGCCTCTCCGCTCAAATCCGACACCTGCGCGCAGCACGGCGCATTGACTGCGCTCTTGGTGGCCCCTTGCCAAGGGCAAACTGGATTTCCACATCCGACGGTCAGCAACAAATGCAAACCCGAGGGTTCGATTACCACCAGTAAAACAATGGTTCAGGCAGGGGCATCAGAAATTCTCAGCCCTTGAAGCGCTTGAACACCACATTCCAGTGCCCGGAAATCAATCGCATTCACCTGCTGTTAAACGTCACTCAGCTCATGTGGGCTGACGCATCCCTGCTTGATTTCCCACGTCAAACAACTGTCCTGGAGTCTGCTTTTAGCCACTCAGCTCATGTCAGGGTCCCCGAATACTCCCTTCAGCTCGCCGACACATGCGTCACATGCGTCTTGGGGCCTCAGTGAGCAACTGCCTGCAAAGGCGGGCCAGTCGCTCCTGCCGAGCGAACTTGTCACCGATGCAGGTGGAACTGCGTTCGCTTTGCAGAATTCCCCAGTTCCAACCAATTGCTCATACTGGCATGTATATCTACATATGTATATGTGTATGTATATACATGTATATATATTTATATATGTATACAACACATATATATATACATTTGTATATATGTATATTTGGGGTGGGGGGTTCTCAAAATGGTTGGAAGTCAAACCACTGGAAAATCAAACAATAAGCAACTTGTTGTCTGCGCACCTACTTTGAGAAACACGCATATACATGTACTGTGAGTGTTTATTATACATAGACTATTGATTTTCCTTGAAACAACTGCAGGACGGACTAGTGTCTTTGCCCTCGGGTAAGCCATTTCGATGGCGGGGGGGCTGAATCTGGTGACAGTCTTCATGTCGAGACAATGCAGCCAACTTGTCAACTTACAGGGATCCTTACACCTGAACATTGCCCTGTAAGTGGTGGTGTTCCTTTATTTTGGTGGAAAAAGCCATGTTTCAAATTGGCAAAATGTATCTTTTAAGGAGCCCTGACTTAGTACCATTGTTTTTGACTTTTGAAGGGAAACCTCAGAACTCCACCTTTTTCGGGGGGGTGACTTCGTACTACTGGCTTAGTACCGTTTTGTGTTTTGAGAGGGAAGCCACAGAAACTCCACCGTTTTCGGTGCCCACGCCCCAGAACATGGACACTGAACGGGTCTATTTTGCCCCTCCTTCATTTGGAGTATTGGTTTTTTGAGGGCTTGAGTCTGCGAAATCGCCATCCATGGTACGGGTCCCCCCAAACCCCCCAAACCCTCCCCCCAAACGCCCCACCGTCCCAAAGCCAACCCCCGTGCCAGGTCCTCGAGCGCCAAGGACCCAATTGGCATCTGCAAGGTGATGCACGTAACGCCGTCCAGGTGGGCCTTGGTGGGATCGAATTTTCGGTAGCAAGATGCTCTGCCCAAATCCATGTAAGGAAATTACAACGCGGCCGCAACTACTTCCGGCTGGGATTGTCCCTCGCTACCCTCCATTTACCTGGGATTGATTGTGACTCAGCTGAAGAATCAGTTGCTCCCCTACACACAAACAGACTGGCACCGTTGTTCTACCGGAATCGAAAACACCCAAGTTGGTAGATTAAAGGGAAATCACCAACCAGTTTCTGACTTTGATACCCCCAAGAAACAGTGAACAAAAATGACTTCAGCAGTATGAGCCCTGCAAACCCACCGTGTTTACAGGAATCTCCTTGAGTACTTCCAAAGTAAACAATTCAGAACTCGCGGAACAAATGGAACGCCAAAGAGACCGCAAGCTATGGTAGCTGCTCCGCAGTTTACGGCTTTGCTCCTGGGACCATCCCCCATGAAACCACACTGGAGCCAGGTTCTAACACGCCAACCCTTTTCAATCAAGTTGCAAACGGGATGACCCCAGGCAAGGATATCTGATATGCGGTAAAAGGAAACCGCAGAGCTCTTTGCAATGAGGCAGAAAAAGATTGATGGATGCTGGAATGTGCTTGCTCCAAGATCACTTTTCGCTGTAAACCTTCACACGACATCGGACATGCATCGAAAAAAATAAAGCAGGCATGGAATGGGACGTGGTGCCATTGACACCGCACATTCCAGCCTAAGCACCGTTCACATCAAACATCCAGCAGTTCTTCGTGTGGCCCATGACCCAAATGGCAAGTGCCCGGCAACGATTTTATAAGTTATTTCTACATATACAATATGATAATAAGCAACACTAAACATGCTTACTTGCAGCATCTGGGGGGCAGCCCCGTATGATTCGTCTCTAGCAAGTTCCCCATCATTCCCATCAATTGCTCAGAATGGCTAGATGCGCCGCTAGATTGGATGGAGTACAAATTTACATTTGCATGCCACGACAAGACAATGTCTACGTTATGTTTGCACGGCAACAAGTTGTGTCAAGCACGCTCAAGCACCCGCTGGAGAATCATACATCTTGTCAGCATGGCATGCACAGGAGTGTCATGCTACCAAGCTTGCGTGGAGACAATCATTGCCGTGTATGCACTGAGGTCCGGTTCATTCCGTGTCCTTCTTTCCTCTGGATGGGCGGGACATATGGTGATGTGTGGTTAGTCTGCCACATCACCCATGCAAACATCACCATCATCTTGAATGAAAGCTTTCCCCGGCTCGCGAATCCTGAAAGCAAAGATCCAGCAATCACCTGGATCAAGGAAATGCCCCAACTTCAGCTCGCCAACTTCCGTTTGGACCCCCCCCCAACACTTAGATGGTCTGGGACTTAGCTAAATGGCCAGTAACCCTGGTTGTAACCCACTTACTATGGTTGTAAGTCCCGTCACCAGGGTTACTAGCCATTTAGCTAAGTCCCAGACCACCTAAGCATCTGTGTTTGCCGCATCTACGTGGAGCACTTTCCCGGGTACCCAAGAGCCTGCGCAAGCAAGTCTTTTTGCTTTTCACGGCAGCTCCTCCTCCTCCCGGCCATTCTCCTGGGCTGGTAAGTTAAAAGGCAAAGCAATGGACCATCCAACAGGGCAAAGGGAAAATGACGGAACTCACACAAATGGCAAAAAAATAAGCTTTAAACCTTGCCTTTATGACCAGTGGGTACAACAAAAAGGCAAAGGATGAAAAGGTCAAAAGTAAGTTTGGCAATGTCTCCACGTGGAAGAAGCGCGCGGATTTGCGCAGGCCGCTCATGGAGTCGCCCTCCCAGTAGATGTCGCGGCTGAAGCCCAGAATGGCGCCTACGAATTGTCCGATGTCGGACAAGTCCTGTGTCTGGACCCCAAAGCGATTGTTCTCCAACATCTCAAAACCAATGGCAATCAATGGCAGCTATGGGGTCTTTGCCCAGATAGGCTCTGGAGTGGTTTGGAGCAGCTTTCAGGGAGGGCTCCGGAGCGTTGCAGGAGCTTTGGCTGCTGTTTTGGGATACCACCGGGACTATTTTGGTTGGGCCATAAACAACCTTGTAAAATGACGTCGCGAGTCGCACCCATTTATGCGGACTCGCTTACTCACCGCCTACCCAGGTTTTGATGGCTCAAGTTGTGAAAAATGGACGAGCCAACAAATAAGAAAGCGCTCGGAAAGCGCCTGGGATCTCCATTGCGACCAGGACCACTGCTCCCATGTTTCGACCAACGTCCCCAGTGTTCAAAGCACCGCCTTGCCCAGACCTTGCCCGTGTTTGGCCAATGGTTCCCCTTTCAATTGAGGGCATCGGACCTTGGAGCGCATGTTGTTAAGTGGAGTTATTGCTCTTTGATGGGACTTGGCCATGGACAAGTCAGAATGGTTCCCGGCTTCGCATCTCTGGTATCACTCGAGGCCAAGCGCATTGTGGCGAACAAAACCAATGGCTACGTTCTCACTGAATCATCATCTTACTATAATTTCCAAAAGCTGCGGATTAAGAATTGGATCCCCGGAGACAAACACCGGCGCATGTGACAAACTTGTGTCTCATGGGAGAGCTTTTTGCGAAGCTGGCCTCCATACTCGAGGCTCCGGAACTTGCAGGTGTCGTAGGAGTCGCAAAACATGCCTCGACTGAGGAATCTGTCCACCCCTGTGGGCCCGAGCCAGCCGGCTTGACCAGAAGTGAGCCCTATGCCCCTAGTGTTGGAAAAAAAGATAGTGAGAGCAAATGGTGAGAACCATTTAACCATATCATACCAGTTCCATGTGTGTGTTGTTAAGCAAACTGTTCTCTCGAAACGACACCTATGCGTACGTCTGGAGGGGCAACATGCAGACAGGGAGTCCGCCATGAGCCGAAAAGAATGAGAAACGTGTTCCGAAACATTAGTTCAAATAGCAAGGCTACAAAAGACTATGAGAGCAAAGGTGAGGGAGGGCAACCAACATAACAAAAGAGAAAGCAAAATGCTTTCAGAACACAAACAAGGGGGGCAGGCGTGAGCGCTACAAGTCTTGACGTGTTCAAATGGTACTCAGCATATCTAAACCACTGCACCATGCTTGCTGGTGAAAACATGTCGAATTGGCGGTAGCGGGTATTTGTATGCAACCCAAGAGCTTCCTCGACAAGGAGACATCTCTAAACATGGATGAATTTGGGGGTCAACAAGACGCAGTCTGTCGCGTATGCTAAGCTTGGTCAACATGCTCCAAGCTCCTCGCGGGCCTTGCGAGGATCGATCGTTCCTGCACCTTTGCCGAATGCTCTTGCCTCTGCGTGCTATTTGCTGGCCTGTGCTGCCTGCTATCATGATAACAACATGCAACATTTCATCAAGCGCACACACACACGTACAGGCACACAACCACACACACACAAACACAACACAAAACAAAACAAAACAAAACAAAACAAACAAACAAACACAAACAAACAAACACACACAATGACACAATGACACAATGACACAATGACACAATGACACAATGACACAATGACACAATCACACACAATCACACACAATCACACACAATCACACACAATCACACACAATCACACGCAATCACACGCAATCACACGCAATCACACGCAATCACACGCAATCACACACAATCACACACAACACACACAACACACACAATCACACACAATCACACACAACACACACACACACACACACACACACACACACACACACAACACACACACACAAGCACACACACACACACACACACATCACACACACATACACACACACAATCACACACAATCACACACAAATCACACACACACACACAACACACACAACACACACAACACACACACACACACACACACACACAACACACACAACACACACACACACACCACACACACAGCGCACACAATCACACACACACACACACACGCACGCATACACACACACACACTCTCGTCAATGGGGCTCTCAGCGCTGCAAGCGATGTCGCGCCCTTTTCACTTCATGGCGGTCGCAGTGCGACGCACAGTAAAATGCACTCAAGGGGGCCCGCCTGGGCCGAGATGGCACATGTGCGTGATGCACATGATGATCGGGCAATGCAAGCGAAAGCACGAATTTCACACTGGTCAATTTTTCTTTGACCGATCATGCTCCTCATCGCGAAGCTGCGCGTGAGGGCCAAGAAGCCAGCAGCGCATCTGCTCCCGGAGCTTCAGGTCCACCTTCGTGAGAGGGTCTGCATGCTGAAGGTGAGTCGGAACCCAGTGGTACGATTCCGCAGACACTGTCTCCTGCACGGCGCGGATGCTGATCAGCGACCGTTTATCGCTGAGCGTGTTGCCCTGAGACACCACACAGTCGTAGAGCGACTTGGCGTCCGTGGCCTGCAAGTTGTGAAGCCTGCGCCCAATGCGGTGAGCTGGCTTGTTGTAAAGGATCTGGCTGAACATCATGTTCACAAAGGCGGCGCGATCTGCTCCTTCATCTGCTGCTGATGCTTCTGATGCCAATGTTGACCGGCAAACTCACGGGCTTCTGCATGAGCGCCAGTCCATGAGGCTAACCGGTGATTGCTTGGTCAGCACGTCCTTGGTGGTCAGGGTGACCAGCACTCCGAGCTGGCTAGTGGAGTGCTCTGCGTTGCCCCAGCACGGATTCCTTGTCGATAGGGACGTCCTGCATGACGATTCCGTCCTTCTCGGTGTGCCTGATGTAGTTGAGGCACTCGATGATCGAGTTGAGGTCGTGGATGGTCGCACTCGAACCACGGCTTTTGAGTGAAACCGTAGCTGACACTTCGGGCCTCGCTTGGGCGGCAGCCCATTGGAGGCATCCGCCAACGCTCCTGAGCTCAGCGCGCTCATGAGGTTGTAGCTGTCGTCTTGTGCGAGGCGTCCGCGTGGAAGCCGTCCAGGTTCAAGTCCTGAAATGAACTTGGCCATGGTGATAAGCATGGTGTACTTGCCCGTGGGGTCCTTCCGAATGGTCAGCTCCTTACCC